GGTCAGCACGCTGCCGGTCGTCGACGTGGCAGGTATGTGCTTCACCTCTCGTACTCCGTGCTCGTGCTCACGCTGCTTTGTGTGTTCGCCCCAACTCGCGCTCGCCAAGTCCAGTATGCGGCGTATAGGACGGGTTGCGGTAGCGAACCCTGTCATCTTGAGGCGGTGAGTGATTCTCCTCGCGTTCGTCCGGTGTCCCACTGACGAGTCCTGCTTCATTCCTCTGGGGTGGTGTCGATCCCCGGGCAACACTCCGCACAGCGGACCGCCCGCTCGCGCTCTCCGTGGTACGTCCCTCGCACCTTGTCCTGCCAAACACGACTGACTTGCGTGTGGTGTCTTGTGCATCGGGACACGGCCGGTACGGGAGACGCGGTGTCGGTACGTTCGCGATTCGATGGCGAGTGCAGTCCACCCGGTACGTGGCCTGCTTCGTCGTCGTTCTCGTGCACGCAGCTGACGTCTTCCCCGGCATGGTTTGACGAGTGTGAACTCGCGTGCCCACGCGGAACGCAGCCAGGGCGCGGCCTTCTACGAGTCAAGCTCGAGATGTGTAGCCGGGAATCATGAGCCCGCGCACAGAACGTGTAAGCAGAAGGTACGTACTCGTTCGCATCTTCATCTGCTCACACTCACGAGCGGTCCGGCGGATAGCATCGACGTTCCACGGTCGCCAGTTCCTTCTCGTCAGTGTTTGTTCCTCGATGCGAGATGGCAGCCGACCCCCGCGCAGTCGGCGAAGAGCTTTGCGCCATGAAGCGCGCGAGGGCAGAGTCGCACCGAGTCGATTCCGGCGTGCTGGACTCAGTAAGCATAGTACGGGTAGTCCGGTTGCGCGATAGATAGACAAGGCGGGGCGGTGCTCTGCTCGTCCAGGGACGTCGAGAGACACGGACGTCCGCGGAGATCGCCACAGACGTTCGCGGGGTGAGGTGGGGGAGCGGGTGCTGGTGCTGCTAGGGACTTACGCACCGTTCCCGACTCGGAGCAGCCGGCAGAGCGTGAGATGGCCCGGGAAGCGGCGGCGAGCGAGCAGAGTGTGTCAGAGGCCCTGCTCGTCGTCGGGCACGTCGAAAGTCGCAACGGCGGCAGCGTGGACGACAAGGACAGTGCGCTAGACGTCGGAGTGAGTGAAGGAAGTGCGCCGCCGACATGGTGGACAGCCGGTGATGTGAGCGGGGGGTCAGTACCGGTCGGTTGTCCAAGAGGCACCGCGAGCGCAGTGGATCGTCCGCGGCCCTCTGGCGGACGGTCGACGATGTGTCCAGGACGGTCGTCGCTGTGCTGGACAGCGAGCACGTCGCGGGACGGCGTCCACAACGAGGGGCGCAGAGTCGACAGAGGCGGGCATGCAAGCTAGTGAAGCTTTGAAGGCGCTGAGGCTCGCGCATCCGTCCGTCCAGCGAGAGGTCGCGCAAGAGGCAGCAACGGCGTGTGCAGGTGTCGGGCGAGTCAATGAGGCGCCGGGGTTGACACGTTGACAGCTTGGGCCATGGATCGCTCCGCTTGGACGCGTGGATGCAGGGCGCGGGTCATGATTGGGCGCGGGCTCACGAAGGGGAGCACGCGCCGACCAGTAGCACCTCCGTCTCTGACAGGACGCGTGTTCCCACCTGCCAGAACGCGTACGTACGAGACTCGTCCCGCGGGCAGGGCACGCAACGCTGTGTGGCCTGTCCACCGGTGAGAGGCGGATGTGCGTGGTCACGGTGGGCGCAGCGGGCCACATCCAGCCTGGCTCAGGTACGGTACCGCCCGTGCGTACGGTAACCACGCGCCCGGCGCTGCTATACATTGTTTCGCGCGGCCTCACAGATCCCGCCGTCTGATCTCGACTGTCCCCAGTCCGTCACCGAGATACCGTGCGTATATGCGCCTGATAATCATCGAACTCGATATCCACGCTGCACAGCTGCAGCACCCGCCCTCACCGTCAAGCCAGCAGTGCGCAGAACAGTCTCCTCGGGGGATGCGTGCGAGTGGTTGTGCAGATCACGCAATGCAGACGGCGGTGGCTGGCGGTGGGCGTGCCTGGGGCGCGTGGAGCGGGGCTTGGCAGGCGGCCACATCGGCATCGAACTGAGCTGGATCTCGTCCCCGCGATCGATCTCACTGTTCGTCGCCGGCGGCCCCCAGAGCGGGCTCACAGCGGACCGACACGCGGACCCGACTCGAAGCTAGCATGTACGCTCACTGCGGCTTGACGAACGCGTCTCTGAACGGGAGCAGGAACCGCCGTAGTGGCTTTTTATTCTATGGATTCATAAGTATAGGAGGTGGGACTCGAAGTCTGGTAGGTTCGGACACACATCCATGCGGTGCCAGACACTCGCGAGTGGGTGAACATCCCTTATCGCGGCCACCCCACTGATCAGGAGACCCTCGCAGGCTCTTGTCGTGGGTGCGACCAAGTGGCCAGTCGTTGTTGTTCATGGCGTCTTGTTCCAGTCCAGCGGAGGGGACGCAGCACTCGATCGGATCCGGCGCACCACAACTCCACTACAGTAGTAGACTCGGAGTTGACTGGTAGCAGAGCTGGCGACACGGTTCACATGTTCCGTACGTACTCAGATATCCACTGGGAAAGCGTACATACCTTGGAGATTGGGTGCTTGTTGGCTGTAGGCGAAGCTAGGAGCCCCGTGTCGCATGAGGCATGGTTCGCGGCTCGCGCGTCCATACAGGTGCGGAGAGGGCTTGAGCCACGGGCGACGAGTCGAGACGGCTGAGTCCGAAGGCCTAGGGATGCAATTGCGATGGCACAAGGGCCGTGAAGAATGTACTTGAGCGTTGAACATTGAACATTGACTTTGGGTGATGAGGACCACAGATTTGGCGATACCTCTCGATATACATGGGAAAATCGCATACCGGAACGTTCGCCCGCTTCAAGGCATCGTAGCTCTCGCGTGCCTTCGCAATCGGGCCAACCGGCGATGGAAGACAACCTGGGAACTCGTGAGCACTTTGCGTGTCTTGACACCCGCGTAGAGAAGCATGCACTCATTAGGACGAGGACAACCCGCGAGCCTCGCCAGTGGAAGAGCAAGGGCGGCGCCAGTGTTGCTCACGACGAACTTGCAACGGTGAGTCCTGTACGGCCTGTTCAGCCCTCTTCATGTTGCGGAACAGAGCAGGAAGACGTACGTGCGAAATACAAAGAGGCCTGTCTAAGTCGCAGACGAGCAGTCCGAGCCATCGTTCGTGAGCCGCGTGGAACGAAGGCATGCCCGTGGTGTGTCACGGCGGAAGATACTCGTCAAGCGTCGCCGACCTTGAGACTCAAGAGACCATCGCGTCCCGACATATTCCCAGGCCCGGTGTCGCACCTGACTACGAGCCCATACGTATGCGCAAATCGGAGGCTCGGGTGCGCAACGTGTCTCCGCACAAGTCGGCCGAGCCGCAGTTGAATCGAAGCTGAGGGTACCGCTTCTGGCTGTTCCTATAGTCCTCATGTCCCACATTTTCTCGATGTCGTAAACGCGTCCTGCGCTACCACAGGGTCTCGGACGCCGACATAGTCGTCTCTGCCGCGTTCTGCAGCTCTCGCATGAGCGTGCATGGTATCTCCGTGCCAATGAGCGGCTTACCTCCGTCTTGCAGGACCATCGATACTGTCGTGTCCGTGAAGCCTATGCGGGCACCTGCATCAGGTCAGCACATACGCGGGATCTCATGCGACACTGCCAGTGACGAAGTCATAGATTGTCACGCTCTATGCCGAGTGCCCCACACATGCGGTCGCCTCCGACTCGGCAGAAAATCACAGCATCGACTGCTGTATCAACCAGTTCCAGCCCTCGCACCCAGAGTCCTCCATGTGCCGCAAAGCCACTCTTTGCATGGTCCAAGGGAGCAGGGCGGCGACCCGAGCATCTCCGTATAGGTAATCGACATCGTAAAATCTCCTGTTGCAGCCGAGCAACTGCAGCCGCTTGGCGCCCTCGATCATAGCGTCTTCGAGCACATGGCCATTGAGGAAGCTGAGGTTCCTGAAATGGTTGTGCTATAGTATGCTGCATGAACTCACATCGTCATTGTGCCATACGTACTCGATCCCAACACGTTGTGCCCAGGGTACGCCTCTCCTCGCGCTGTGATTGGCTGGAGGGGTGAAAAAAGTTGCCTTCTTTCAAACGTCCGTCTCTCTTTCTTTATGTGCAAGCATACGTCCGCCTCCCCGCGGGGACACTGGGGTGCGCAAAACGAGTCCCTGCTCGCGATCGAGATCTCACCGGTCAGCGCTCAGGAGTCAGCAGTCACCTCCCACGCACTCGGCTATCGACTCCAACTCGTCTCTCGCCATCTGCAGCATCCCCAGTCGTCTGCACCGCCTACCAGTTGTCAACGCGGCAGACGGTCAGCAACGCGTCCTTCCGTCAAGATGCAGCCAACGCACCGCCGCGTGCCTGTAGGAGACGGACGCGTCCGAGTGTGGTCGGCCTGAGGTGCAAGGTGAGTGGCGGTATTCCACATTCAGACGAACAGTACTGACCTCGTAGTAGTCCCGCCCATCTGCCTTGTCACCCCGCGCTCCTCCTCGCAATCCACCCTCGCCGCGGGAGAGCTCTGCCACAAAAGAGCGCCCTACAAGTTGATAACGCGGCAGACGAGTACGCATCAGCAACCCATCCTTCTCTCGAAATGCGCAGCAAACTCACCCTCGCGCAGGCAAGTCCTTCTGCGCCCCGATCTCCACCGCCGCCCGTCTATGGCGAGGTGACCATGGCCGCAGCAGACCGTCTGGACGGCACGAAAGCCTGTCGATCCACGCGTACCAGTTGATAACGCGGCAGACGACTTCTACACGTCAACAACGCATCCTCGTGTCGGCGTGCTCGATGCACTCGCCTCGATATCCCGCGCTCGCCAGCCTTCTGCACCGCGATCTATGGGCAGATGCGGGGGCGCGATAGCAAGGTGAGATTCTGTGTTACATGCAAAATCGACGCTGCTCACCCTAGTCCGCCATCTTCCCTCGCCAGCACCCCTCTCCCGCCTTGCTCGCCGGACGACGATCCGTCGTGTCTTTGCTGGTCGAACGTCCCTCGATGAACCACGTGCCCGGCTGGAGCACAGAACAGTGAGTGTCACTGTCTTCTCGTGCAGGAAGGAACACCATACTCACCTCGTCGTCCCTGCCTGCCTCGATTCCGCACTCCAGCTGTCGTCAACACCCGCGGCAAGGCAGATGCACTCGCCGCGTTGCCGTGCCCGCCGCCCTGCGTGCCATGCCCGCCGGAAGACATTCTATCGCGCCCTTGTCGGTCACGAGCTGCACGCGTCGCCCCTCACCGGACGTCGATACGTTGCGTCTTCGTCGATCCGTCGCAGGTGCATGTGCCTGATGCGAACATCGTCGAGGGTCGTGTCGCCGGACGGCGATACCTCGTGTCTTCGGACGTCGGGGTGGTGGTGCTGAGATCGAGGTGATGAAGAACACGAGAGAGACGAGAGACAGCGAAGTACCGGGAGAAGAGGGAAGTTGCCAGACAAGACACGAGATGAGCTGCGGAGAAAACACGACGGAGTGCGTGGGCGAGATCGGGGATGCGCACAGCCTGGTGGTCGGGCGTTGCCCGATCGTCGACTCGAGACCTGTGCGCGCTGCCGCTCGACGGACGTTGATGTGTCGTGTCTTCATCGATCATGGGCAGGATGCCAACATCTTCGAGGGCCGCGTCGCCGGGTGGCGATATGTTGTGTCTCTGAACATCGCGGTGGTGGTGCCGAGGTCGAGGGGAGGTGACGAAGAGGGCGAGAGATGGGAAGACAACCCGACATAAAGGTACCGAGGGAGGTTGCCAGACACGACACAGGGCGAGCGCGAAGAGAACGCGAGGAAGGGCGTGCGCGCAATCGAGGATGCCCGCAGCCTGGGAGAGGTAGGTTCCCTGACGAATACCCTCTTGACAGGACGGACAAGCCAGCTCTCGCCTGGACGCACCGTCCGCATCGAGGAGACCACGCAGTTGACAGCGACACAAGACGTGCGCACGACTGGGAACACAGGTGAGCGGACAGTCGGGAAGACGGGACGGACGGGAAACGTACTGATTAAACGAGTCCAGTCCACACGCGAATCACCGCGCCGTCAACGGATCGGCAGGTGATGAGACGAGAAGGCACCAATGCCTCGTATACGCAAGTCGACGGGACGGCGAACATCGCTTGTCCATGCGGGCAGCATACCCCTCGGGGGAGAAGCAATCGTGCAAGTGTACAGCGCACGCCAGGCTACGGCGTGCGTGCGGCGACGCTATCGAGCAACAGAAGGTCAAGACAAATTGGGAGCGTAGACGGCTGTGACCCGACGTACCTGCGTCGACAATGCCTCGATTGGATGGCAACCAGTCGCTACGTCGTCCGTCCAGTCTGCGCAACAAACGTGCAATGTCGTGCTTGGAGGGATGGCCTTGTCTCGCAGAAGGGTACGACCACTGTGCACACATCTTCGCGCGAATAGTCCGTTGCGTGTGCGCAGAGTCGGTTGGTGCGACCCGTGGATACCAGCGAGACGACGGCGGACGCGAGCCAACGCAACAGCGCACGACGGCGGACATCGCGGGCTCGCTGTCCTGTGGACGCAAGGCGTTTGCGTAGTGCTCGCTGTGCAGACGGCTGGTGATCAGAGCTCAGCAGAGGTCCGCGCGTGATCTATGGAAACATACCTTCGAGGCCAACTCCTCGTGGAACGCACAGCCGGGTATGCTCGTTACCAACACTGGGGCATTGTGTGACGACGATGAAGGAGACATGATGAGCCCGTGCTGACCGGGCGGCGATCATTCGCTATATCGCTCGCCCGGTCGGCCTAGTGGGCGAGAGCGTGTGAGATGTCCGCGAGCGGGGAATAGCTGGATGAGGAAGGTAAGTGCTCGTGCGCAGAGAGTTTGGCAGCAACATACCAAGGGGGGACCAAGTCTCGACCCTCGATGCCCGCCGTACGCGTCCTCCGAGTAGTGAGCTCGCCATCTGTAAGGGAGTGAGTGAGGCTCGGGGCGAGGACAGTCGGGGGAAACTCACCTCGCTGGGCCTTCACCCGACGTAGTGCCCGTTCGCTCGGGCGCGGGTCTACGAGATGGTCAGCGTGGTGAGTACATGGATTGAGTACCTGTACATACCAATGAGTAACTGGCCAGTCTCGGGATGGACTAGCCATGTGAGAATACTCGCTGCAATACATTGCGGCGAGTGTATCTGCGAACAGAGTGATTAGTGCATGTATCAGTAGCACTAGTAGTGAGTACTTACTGTAGCCAGGTCTCCGTCGAGGACACCTATGTAGATATGTAAGATAGAGATTGAATGAAAGATAATGTGAGACTTACCTGGGATGCTGTACAAGCATAGTTTGGGGATGTTACAAGGGGAGGATACCTGGGTACCCCTTAGTATTTAAGCTGGAGTTGGGTCCTCAAATCCGCGGCATGTTGCCTCAGCCTCGGGCTATGCCCGGGCAATCCTATTGTTCGCCCAAATTGGCCACCGGCGTTGTATGGCCGCTCTGATCGAACATCACTAACACCGACTGATGAGTGTTTCAGGGTCACTCCTCCAAAATGTGAAGCATCCTCCTAGAGCTGGAAAATTCAGGATTTCGGTGCTGAGTCTGAGTAGTCTTATTTTAATATTCCTGAGCTCCTCAATACTAAATCCTCAAGTTGACTTCACAGAAAATCGGACCATGAGACAATGCTTACATACTGACCATCTCATCAATCTTACAGGGTCAGGGTAAATTCGGAAGATACGCAACCTGGAATTTCCGCAGCCACCGGAGGTTGCTCTCCGCCCGAGCCTCGGCGCCGTGGACAGGCGGGGATTTGTCTGCCCAAGGCTGTCAGCCACTTCCGGGGCTCCCGGAATTAGCTCACACCCTTGAGCAGACGAGGCCCTGCACTGCTCTGTAAGTAACCTCACTGAATTGCATGTACAAGTTTTTTCGTAACTACTATATAGTTCTGCGCCCACTCATCGGGCACATACATTGCTCGGACATGTTTCGCGCGCGAGTGGTCACTCTGTGGTCAGTGACAATGACGAAAATGTTGTCCTCAATCAGCACTTACACCAGGCCCAGACTAATCACTCCTAGTGCAATACAGGGCACGAACCTTTTACTTCGCCGTTCACGGCCCTGCGATCGCGGGTTTGATACAATCGCTGGATGTACATCGCTCGAACGATACCTAATCGGGCAATTGCAGCGAGCTTGAGCTGGGAGGTGTTGCGGGCTTTGCGAGTGCACCTGGAATATGTTAGTAGACGTCTGGGTAGCTGTTTCTGATATGTCAGAAGGGCTACTGAGGCTCAGAGACGGTGCAAACGGTATCCGGGTGCAGGGAAACGGTGCGAAAGGCGATGGGATCGCCCAGATCGATCTCAGAACACGAGGCTACTCGACTGCAGCCTCGGGCGCCTATGTCACTCGTCGTACTCAATCCTCTTTCTTGGACATCCGTGGCTGGTGCACCTTCCTGGTCTCGGATCCACACACCCACCCACATGTCTCGCAGATACCTGGTGTATTTGTGAGTAAAAATTGAGGTATACGTCAGGGCTACAGCAAGTGAAGAGTCCGAGCTGACTGTGCTGACATTCATACAAATGCACTACAGGTATCCATACAGCGGCGGCGATGTTTGCGCGAAACATCCGAACGGCGCCCGTGCTAGCGCTCGTACGTATCACATCAGTCAGCACATGTGCGTTGCCATACAACGGCTGACAATTGCTCGGCAGCCAGGAGCTCGCAATCGCACTTACACGAACTCGGCGGAAAACGAGAAGCGACGCTAAGATGCTTGGTTTCGGGCGGCGGAGACCGTGCGGAATTAGTACGCAAGCGTGATGCGATGTCCGCGGACTTTGCTTGCAGCGCACGGACCATCGCACGTAAGCAATCCGCTGGCAAAAATCCGTATAAGAGCGAGTCCTGTTGGTGCTGGAACACCATCCCACCGTCGCTCCCTTCCTCTCTCCCTCTCTGTGACCTGAGCTCGAGCTGGGCTGTCTTATCTTTCTGCAGCGAGTATCCAGTGAGTCACTGCAATGTAGCTTCTGCTTGTATGGCTTCGCTAAATTGCTTACTGCGGTGTTGCTTTGAATCCACATTCAATACGTCTTCGTACAATTCGCATAACAGTGAGATGTCATTTTATTCTAATGCTGTTGACTGGCTATTGGAATCTTTGACAGGCTGATACTCTCGCATCGAGACAGTCGCAGGCAACGTGCTTAACACAACGCGCCACCATTAGTATGTATTGATGTCTGGCATTGAATATTGACCGCACACTGACATATATCCTCTTCGCTTTCAGCCCACTGTTATTGTGTTTCTCACACAGCCGTGAAGCGACTCGGTGTGTTATTAGAACCTACAGGTAAGACTGTCACCGACCCTCGTCTTATTCGAGCCTGAGTACTGACCATTCCCATCCTGTAGCCCGGTCCATACCCCGCTGATCAGCTGCTGTAGTCAAGATATATTTCCCACCCAGTGACAGTCATGTACATTACTCTACAGTAGCTCGCGCACCCCGGCGTGGACAGCTCGACGTGACGACGTCCCAGTCCACCGGTCCGGACAGGGACCAGGCTGACCGGACAGGACACATGGGCACCGTCTCGAGATGCCACAGAGAACGCATGCCCTGGCTCTCGCGTCCCCGCGTAGACTGCGGTTTCTTCGGTCTAGCTCACCGTCTGCGCCCATTGCTCCGGCTGGAGACGGTAGCCTGCAGGTCGCAGAACGCGACGTCGGAGACCACACCCTTGTGGCCGTCATGCCCTCTGGGGTGTCTGTCTCGTCGACGTGTCACGTCCTTGGTTGCAGCCATGCGCGGGGAGGTTACCTCGCGACGTCCATTGTTCACGCCAACTGGGCACGAACTGATCCTGCTCAGATCGAGCCGGCAGCCGTCGGGCCATGAGTCAGAGAGGGAACGTACCTCGCAGTGGATCGACAGCGAGCAGTCCCTTGTGTTTCCAGGTCTCCCTGTCTGGTAGACCTTTGTGAGTTCCCGAAGAGCTTGCCAGGGCACTTGTGACCCCGCTCGCCGAGCCGTCGCGTGTCGCACCGTGAAGGGACCTGCTAAGCCAGTCTGAGAGCGCAGGAGACTGCACGAACGCCTCCGTCTCGTAAACGCGCGGGGAGGCTGCCGGACGCGTGCGCAATCGTGCCTGAGATCGTTCCGTTGAGCCCCAGCAACGAGTAGCTGTGCTTCTCGGACGACATGCCCGCTCCCGTCGTCTGTTCACGGTATCGCCGCGTCGCACCGAGTCTCCTTGATTCCGTTCTGGCATGCCTCCCGTTCGCTTCCCGCAGTCTCGCAACACAGCACTGCTGACAAGTGCATGTGTACGGGATGTTCCCGTCCTGTCCCGCACGTCGTCGTGCTTTGCCTTCCTCGGGATGTCTTGCGCGTGTTCCGGTCCGTTTCCGTGGTGTTGGCCGGTCGACCGCTACGCCCAAGGCGTGTACTCAGCACCGCCGTCCGGACGCAGAGTGTACCTACATAGACGCACGGTCAACGCTCGACACGTGCAGGCACCCACCTTCGTCGTCGTCACTCTTGTCTGCACCCTTCCTTCCAGTCAATGCACCTCTGTCTCCGACGTTCGACATTGCGTCACTGCACTATCTCGAGCCTCACGTCCTCCTCTCTCGTACTTGCCTTGTCACGCCCTTCGTCCTTCGCCGCATCCAGCCACGCCCTCTGCAACTCTCACTCGCCTCCCTCGTACCGCCGTTGGCCAAGCCTGGTCGCGTACGTCGTCCCATCCTGCCTCTATCCACGTCGTCCACTCGACTCCCTCGCATTCCAGCTCACCGTGACGTCGCATTGCCGGCTACGCGGGCTGCTTCGCTCGAGCCTCGGCCGTGGATTCCTTCCCATCCTCGCGCAACATGCATCCACCCCGTCCCATCTGACGTGTCCCCGCCCTTCACGCCGACTCCATCCTCCACCTCGTCCTCTCCGCCCCTTCATGCGAGCATTGCAACTCCCCGTCCCACTCCGTGTCGCGTCGAATCGAGGGTGAGTCGACCATCAGCCTCGTCCTCGCCATCTGCCTCACTTTCCGTTCCCTCCGCGACTCGCACTCGTCTCTTGCCGGTCTGGCCCGCGTCGCGACGTTCTGCGCAAGACAGGTCGTGGTCAGCACGCTGCCGGTCGTCGACGTGGCAGGTATGTGCTTCACCTCTCTTACTCCGTGCTCGTGCTCACGCTGCTTTGTGTGTTCGCCCCAACTCGCGCTCGCCAAGTCCAGTATGCGGCGTATAGGACGGGTTGCGGTAGCGAACCCTGTCATCCTGAGGCGGTGAGTGATTCTCCTCGCGTTCGTCCGGTGTCCCGCTGACGAGTCCTGCTTCATTCCTCTGGGGTGGTGTCGATCCCCGGGCAACACTCCGCACAGCGGACCGCCCGCTGGCGGCGTCGTCCCGCTCGCGCTCTCCGTGGTACGTCCCTCGCACCTTGTCCTGCCAAACACGACTGACTTGCGTGTGGCGTCTTGTGCATCGGGACACGGCCGGTACGGGAGACGCGGTGTCGGTACGTTCGCGATTCGATGGCGAGTGCAGTCCACCCGGTACGTGGCCTGCTTCGTCGTCGTTCTCGTGCACGCAGCTGACGTCTTCCCCGGCATGGTTTGACGAGTGTGAACTCGCGTGCCCACGCGGAACGCAGCCAGGGCGCGGCCTTCTACGAGTCAAGCTCGAGATGTGTAGCCGGGAATCATGAGCCCGCGCACAGAACGTGTAAGCAGAAGGTACGTACTCGTTCGCATCTTCATCTGCTCACACTCACGAGCGGTCCGGCGGATAGCATCGACGTTCCACGGTCGCCAGTTCCTTCTCGTCAGTGTTTGTTCCTCGATGCGAGATGGCAGCCGACCCCCGCGCAGTCGGCGAAGAGCTTTGCGCCATGAAGCGCGCGAGGGCAGAGTCGCACCGAGTCGATTCCGGCGTGCTGGACTCAGTAAGCATAGTACGGGTAGTCCGGTTGCGCGATAGATAGACAAGGCGGGGCGGTGCTCTGCTCGTCCAGGGACGTCGAGAGACACGGACGTCCGCGGAGATCGCCACAGACGTTCGCGGGGTGAGGTGGGGGAGCGGGTGCTGGTGCTGCTAGGGACTTACGCACCGTTCCCGACTCGGAGCAGCCGGCAGAGCGTGAGATGGCCCGGGAAGCGGCGGCGAGCGAGCAGAGTGTGTCAGAGGCCCTGCTCGTCGTCGGGCACGTCGAAAGTCGCAACGGCGGCAGCGTGGACGACAAGGACAGTGCGCTAGACGTCGGAGTGAGTGAAGGAAGTGCGCCGCCGACATGGTGGACAGTCGGTGATGTGAGCGGGGGGTCAGTACCGGTCGGTTGTCCAAGAGGCACCGCGAGCGCAGTGGATCGTCCGCGGCCCTCTGGCGGACGGTCGACGATGTGTCCAGGACGGTCGTCGCTGTGCTGGACAGCGAGCACGTCGCGGGACGGCGTCCACAACGAGGGGCGCAGAGTCGACAGAGGCGGGCATGCAAGCTAGTGAAGCTTTGAAGGCGCTGAGGCTCGCGCATCCGTCCGTCCCACTGTGGCGGGCTTAACCCGGGATTTTGACTCAGAGAGCGAGTGAAAACATGCGCCCGCGACACTGATGGGTGAAAGGGTGGTGAATCCGCTGATGAGTGAAATCTCCGACGAAAATCCCCTCTCTCGATATCAACCGTCTGCGAGGGATTTTTGAGCGGTGTATGTCGGAGACATCAAGTCACCCAGTCAGCGAGAAGCGCGCCATAACCACTGGCTCCTCATCACTCATATGGTAGATGTTTTTGTCGATGTATGGATTGGCACTGTCACGAATACATATGCATGTATAAACCGCATCTGCAATCGTTATGTACAGGCACTACATTGTCATTACATGTCCGACTGCAATCCCACCGACTGAGACACGGTGCCCACTAACACCTCTTCGTCCACCTCCTGCTCACAAGTGGCTCTCCGGTCCTCTATGAGTAGGTGTCGCGGCCTGTCGACAAGCTCCGCGATATGCGCGTCGCGGTGGCGCGCATGTTCCTGTCCGTTGTGGCGAAGTGGGAGTGGACCGTGACGAGCGCGAGCGGGTAGACGAGCGCGGGTAGGCTGAGCGAGAGGATGCATGTGCGACGACAGCGAGAGCAGCAGGTGGATACTGAGGAAAAAAGTCAGTGGCGGCGCCACGAGCATCGTCCTGTATGTTGTCAAGAGGTATCAGCGCGCAGGGGGTATGGTGAATGCGTGTGAGTCGTGATGCAGTAGAGTTGGAATGAGATGCGACGCAATGCGGCTAGACAAGCCATGCTGCTCATCGTCATCATCGACGGTGACCGCGTCATCTTGACGTTCAGACCGAGCAGCTGCCCTTCGGCGCCGGGCTTCACCAAGACATTTCGCTCCGCCACACCGAGGTCCGAGTCGTTGTAGGTATAGAACGCGCCAAGCAGGTGGATGTCCGGCTCCTCGGACAGAAAGTCCGCCGTTGACGAGGACGACTAAAGTTGGGGCGGGTAGACGAGGGCGAGGACGGCCCCGGGCGAAAACTGGCGACGCCCGACGGGAGACGATGGTTAGCACAACAGGTATGCGGGGGATGGACGAGCTCGGGCAGGTGGACGAGCTCAGGTGGGTGGACGGGCGCGGGTGGCTTTCGAGACGAAGTGGCTGCGGAGAGGGGCAGGAGGGTGTAGAAGCGGGGGCGGGTCTGCTTCGCGGCAGAGTGGGTATAGACGGGCGCGGGCGAGTGGACGGACACGGGCGAGTGGACGGACGCGGGCGGATTGGCGAACATGGGCAAGTGACGTTTGCGACGAAGTGGGTGCCGAGAGGTGCAGGCGGGCGGGCGGGCGCAGGCAGGCTGACGAGTGTGGGCGGGTGGACAAGCATGGGCGGGTGGACAAGCGTTGGGTGTGGAGAGGTGTGGACGCTGCCGGCGAGCTGGGGTGGGTTGATGCAAGGGCAAGGGTGGACGAGCACGGGTGGGCGATGTTCGCAGTGAGGTGGGCGTGGACAAGCATGGGCGTGTGGCCAAACACGGACAGGTGGCCTTCGGGAGGAAGTGGATGTGGAGAACCGCAGGTGGGTGGGAAGGCACAGGCAAGTGTCCCTCGCGGCGAGGTGTTGACGAGCGCAGGCGGGTGGACATGCATTGGGTGTGGTCCGTGTGGAGAGCTGCAAGTGATGGACGAGGGCGGGAGGGTTGACGAGCGCAAGGGTGGGTGAATGCAAGGGTGGACGAGCGCGGTTGGGCGACGTTCGCGGCGAGGTGGGTATGGACGAGTGCGCGCGAGTGGTGGAACACGGGCAAGGTGTCCGCCACGGGTGGGTGGCCCCACCGACGAAGTGGGTGTGGATAGGTGCAGGCGGGTGGACGAGCATGGGCGAAGTTGGTGGGGAGAAGCGCAGGCGGCTGCCCTTCGTAGTGCAGTGTTGACGAGCGCGGGCGGGTGACCTTTGCGGCGATGTGGGTGTCGAGAGACTGCTCATGTAAAAAAACAGCAGACTCATCTGTTAAGAGATTAGTTAGGCTCGGATCGGCACATCGAGGTGTAGGGAACAAGGGAGAGCATGCGATCAGGCAGTGGCGACACCAGCTCAACAGGAGCACATATTCTCCCTAAGCAGTCTGCGGATGCAATCACCCGGGCCGATCCCCAACGCGCACATCAACGCAGAACTGCAGTCGGAAGAGCATGCGCATGTTGGCATAGCCTGCATCGACAAATTGCTTGTTGGAGAAAGGGGGCTTATAGGTGGATTTACGAAGGGTTTGGGGTCAATCAATGCTCACCTTTTACAACCCACACTCCCTCCGCGCATATTGACGGCTGCTGCACGTATTGAAACGAGTCTTCACGGTCGCGGGCGCGACCTCAGTTCATGGCATGAGGCGGCGGCTGCAGGTCGCAGAGTGCAGGTGAAGGCTGAATTACTGAGCGACGAGTGAGTTGCCAGATATGTGTTGAGCAGAAGGAGACCCACAGGCCTGAAGCCCGGTGCCCATGTCGAGCTCAAGGAGCGTAGTGGGTGGATCACATAGAGGTCGTTGCAGAGCGGCGCGTCGACCTTGCGGTTGGGCGCCTCAGCACGCAAAATAAGCGCTGGTTTCGCCGCAAAAATGTGCATGAGCATCGAGTCCGAACATTGCAGGCTGCGGCTTAGATTCGTAGGATACAGCAGTAGATACATGCACATTAGTTTATGTCCTCCTCCACATATATCGCACGCGCCAGACTACCACTCCTATCAACGATGGCCCACTGGCCTCGATCGTGGATGCGCCCGACGAGACATTGTATGTTATTGATGTCCACGACTTCGTATCGACCAGTTGTGGTATAGTAGTGAATGTCGAGGCCACCAGGTGAAGGGCGGTCGTCCAATTTGCATGTCCGGATGCCAGCGAGTATGAGAGTTTCGACTCTCCGCGCGCCAGCGGTGTCGGTGACCTGTACGTCCAAAGACACGATATGCTGCAGCTCGCCATAGAAAGTCCGAAGCTCAAAAACCGACGGACGGTTTCGCTGTCCAGAAAACTTGTCGACAAGGCTTTCGTACTGTGAAAAAGTAAGTCAGTAAGGGATGAGATAATCCGCGACTCGTGCATTGATAGCATACCCGCACATACGACGCATTTCGCGAGTCCTCTCTGATGCCACCGAGTGTCGTAGACCGGACGAGATCACCTCCCCCGAGGATTTGCAGCTTGCCCCATTGTGTGATTGTTTCCGGCCTGAGCATTGCGCGGACGTCCCGAACGGGAGCTTCAAACCGAGTAGACAGGTGGCTGATGATCTTGTCATGAACAGCTTTGTCGAGCGTGACGGCTTTCCTCGAAGGTGGCAACAAGGCACACATTTGGTCTGTATGGCGGACATCGTCCTTGCAGTTAGATTTTACTGATAATTAGTACATAGGATAGCGCAGAACTTACATTCAGGAAAGGTTGTCGACATGTCCTGCATAGGGCGCCGCAATGACAAGACATCTGCTGCGTCATAGACTAATTTGACCTGAAGTAGGCGTGCTGTGTCGAGGACGTAATGCGCGAGAGTTGTGTAAGGGAATCGGCGACTTCGGATGGCGGGTTTGAGCATCCCGCAATATCGCTCCATGGGAAATGCCCACGATGCCCAGACAGGCCCCGCGGCCTCGATGCTGTCGGCGACGTGCAGCAAGGCATGTATAGTGAGAGGACACGCAGCAAGTCGTGAGGGCGTGTTCTGATAGTAAATTCTGTTTCGTATGGTGAACAAACCGATGAATGAACTCGGACAGGATCGACTCACTTTTCGTATTCTTCAACCCATTCCGCAAGCCCGCGACGAACATCTGCCACTTCTGACCTCGTCATCTCGAATTGCAGACATACATGGAGTATCTTGACAAGCTTGATGAAGTGCTTGTAGTACTTCTCGTGGCGAAAGCGGCCGCGAAGGACGACAGGTGCTATGTACAAGGTCCAGAAGGACCACGAGTCTGCTGTACAAGCTTGCTTGTCAGTATCAATGTTCGGTGGGCGAGGGCCGTATGCAGATGGGATGGTGGATCCCGAGGCAGCAGTTGCTTCCCCTATGATCTTCCAAGTTTCAGGCGATAGCTCATAGTCCTCTCTCCCGCTGTCTAGCTCGCGGTACTGACCAGTCCACAAGGCGACCAAGTTCTTGATGACGTTTTCCCAGACCAGGTGCATGAAGTCGTAAGGGAAGGAGTCGGGAAACGTCAGGGACGACAGGCAGGACAGAAGTGGGACACCCTTGATACCGCATTCTTTTGCAAGGCGCTCGGATTCAGCCGCTGTTGGGGCCATCTGGACATCGCGACCCTGCGCCATGAAGCGATCATGCGTCCGTTTTGGCAACTCGAAAGGGCTGTATTGGCGCGGCGGCGCATTCGCTCCTGCGACGTCGGGGTGGCGAGATCGATCGAGTGGGACGTAGTAGGGACTGCGCGGCTTGTTGGGGATGCGAACACCGACAATCTCGCACATGCGACATGGGCACTTGCCATTGTGACCCTTGACATGCAGCAGCATAGATAGTGCAGGGATGTCGCCAGACGCGAGGATCATATACGCATGCAGAAGGAACCGAACCTGCGAGAGGGCATCGAAGGCGCGTACTCCGACTGCAAGCTCGAGCATCTCGGTAACAAGCGGCCATAGGAAAGAATCGAAGTCGACGGGTTTCTTGGGACCTGGAACGACGCCAAACGGAATCCAGTTCTTCTTCGTGAACCGCGTCTCCGGTGGTAGATTGTAGTTGAAGCCGACAAGCGGCCAAGCAGTCTTGTTCCGGCGTCGAAATGGACCGAAGCCATCCGTAGCGAGGCCAAGAGCCACGTCGCGAGGATCCGAAAAGTGGCAATGGCGGAGCTCCTTGTCATGTACTCGCACTCGTTGCCGCAGTTTTGAACGGTACGCGGTGCTATCGTAGACGTCGGATATGGTAGAGTCGGCTTTGTGGGTGTGGCCGTGGGCGCGATGTTTCATTGCTGTCGCCATCTCTGTGTTCGCCTGAAATGCCTGAAGGCGCGGAATTAGAGGGATATAGGAAAATTGCGATCGTGCCTTGCCGCGGCTGTCCCGGCGGGGCGCCTTGCAGTATGGGCAGTTATCTAGGGCTGCGTGTGGACCAGTGTAGCAGCAGCACGAGTTTGGGCAGCAATCGTAAAGAACAGGTTTTATGCCCGACAGAAAGGCAACCCGAGTGCGGAGATGGTTGGCAGAAGGAACATGGGCACCTGGGAAGGCGAAGGGTAGCTTCTCCAAGGTGCGGCGGGTTAGGTGTTCATCTGTCTTCAGTGCGAACGTGCGCAAGGTCGCCTTGTCTGTCTCGCTCAAAGCTGCATCTAGTGATAGACTTGTAAGATACTGGTGTCTCGCAAGTCTCAGTCGTACTCACAGGTCGTGTTATACGATCGCTCGAAGTCCTCGCCAAGCTGATCCACAGCTGACAAGCCTGACAGTGAGGCCGACTCGTTTGAGGCTTCCTCCCCGAGCCCAGACTCCATAATCTCGTCGATGTAGTCGTTCCACCACTCTTCGTCATATGATGCACTGTCCTCCGCATTTTCTCGCTCGTCCTCTCCAGATGCCGGCTCGTCCTCGTCATCGGAACCCAAGTCTTCGATTTGCACAGAGCGCCGGGAATGCTGATCTCCCTCGCCCCAGACATCGCGTTGTATTGCCGCCGCAGTGTCTTGATCCAAGCCTGCTACAGTGCCTCGCTCAGCGATATTATCATGCCTCGAAGGTACACTGTACTCGCCTGTTGGCTCATGCTCTGAGTCAGCGACCTCATCAATGTTCATATCCACGATTGCAGCATTCTCCGAATCTACAGGAGTGTTTGGATGTTGTGGCTGTGAACTTCCTGATGGTACTTGTGCTTGCGAAACGCGGCGGGCTTGGGTATTGGAACTGTGGTATATTCGGTCACATCTTCTCTGCAACTCCGAGTCATTGATTGTGTGCACACGACATACCTTCCCTCGGCGGCACCCTTTCGCTTCCATGACAAACTTGCAGCTACATCGCTCCTCCGTGCTTCATCCACTCCCACAGGATCATTGAGGATGCTCTTCTGGTATGCATACGATGCTCGGACGTGTGGCTTTGCCTGCCCTTTGCGATGCCGGCGCTCGGTACTCTTGGCGACCGACTGGTTGCAGCATCCACATATAACAAAATCGTCCCGCGCCATTGGAGATATATAGCTGTACTTAACAGTAAGCCACTCGGGCACAGAGGATGAGTGAGGGTAGCTCACCTACTGCCTGTTGTCGGCTTGTTCGATGTCGGTCGGTGGTCGTCGGTGGTGTGAGCGCACAAGATCTGATCGGTACCAGGCGGGTGTGCTATCAACCGCGGCCTGGTGAATTTTGAGTCGCTCCGCTGCTGCCTGCCCTAAAATGATGGAACAAATGGGGACAAACAATTAGTAGAATAGCATAAGTTGTCGGACTGTACACCTTATCGCTCACCTCATTTTCCCCCTTCCCAACTTCCACTTCAAGTCCGTCGGCACACTATCGTGCCTTCCCGCAGAGCTGGTCCTGCCCCATTTCGCCTTTATATCATGTCAGTAATGCTCTCTATATAGATGAACACATGCTAATTCACCTTCGTAAAGCACTGTCACTCGACTCACCTGTTCGTGAAGCAATGGCTCCTTCAAACAAAGCTCGGGCTCCCACGAAGCAGGACCTCCTCGACGAGAATGCCATGCTGAAGGCATCGCAGCAGAACCTCTCGGATGAGATGGTTGCTCTCAAGGAGCAGCTCGCCAGCCTGACAGGTATGTGCCAAGACCTTGTGTCGAATCTCGTCAGCCCCGGGCCTAGCCTGCATCACATGATGAAGTAGAATACTTACAATACTCGCAGACTCGCTGACGCAAGAACGGGCCTCGCGCGCGGTGATACGCCTCTAGGCTATCTAAGCCCCGAAAACGCAATCTAGGCCTCTACGATGCTCCGAAGCTCTTAGAAGATCCACTACAACTGTTCGAAGATTTCGAAGTTTGTAGCCAACCCTGGCTCACCTTGGAAGACTATCCGCGACCTTCCGGCACCTCAGTGACGCTATAGGAGCACCTACCCACCTATCTAGACGACCCCAGAGTACGCAGGTCACTCGAAGATACACTATGTGTTAGAAGACACTCGAACATGTTAGAAGACGTGCTACGGTGTTAGAAGATCTCATGCGAGACCATAGGATGCTACAGGATGTCCAGTGAGTCCTTACAGGTCGTCTCACATCCTCGACGAGTGGTCTCGGTTTCCGGCGTCATGTGATAGCCGGTCGGCCTTCGGACCACTGGTTAGCGAGCCCGAGAGCAGTTGTCACGTGTTAGAAGCCATAGCCGGATGTTTGGGGCCGTCGGAGCTCCGTAGTGGTAATAGCCGTGTTTCCCTGTATATACTCGGGGACTGGTTCCCTCCGAATCTCAGAGACCCCCTTACCCTCTCAATCTCACCTCGCACCGGCGAGGTTCGTCAGTCAGTCAGTACGTTCGAAAGCCAGCAAGTTCGCCAGTCAGTCAGTACGTTCGAAGCCAGTCAGTCAGTTCGCCAGTACGTTCGCCAGCTCGTAGTTGCCCCGAGAGGCTCTACACTTCTTCTCCTGCCGTCGCTCGCCTTCCTTGTCACCGTTCGTTCGACACGTCTGTCGGAACCCTCCCTCCTACCTTCGAGGCTTAGCCCTCGTCTTCGAACAGTCTTCGACATCTTCGAAGCTCTCCCACGTCGTTCGGAGTCTTGTCCGTCCTCCTCCTTCTTACCTAGACCACTGTACAGTCCCCCGTACATCTCATAGACGCAGAGGCCTCGCATACCACTGCTCGACCTCACGGTTGGGTTTTTGTGTGGCTTTTGTGTTCTTTTCGGTCGCGTCAGCGGCTGCTGAGATTCTCGTCGAAAGCAAGCGCAACGAGATCCAGTTCATGAAAGATGCTGCTGCGCGCGAAGCCCAGAATGCGGCGAGTACTGCTCGTGCTGCGGCTGAGCATGGCGTGGGCCGCATGCCAGCCAATGCGCCTTCGCTGTCGGCGAGGCGCGCCACTGGCGACGAGGTGATTCCGAAGCCGAGAGGCTCCGGAGGCCAAGACTACAAGGTCCGAGTGGAAATGGGCCTGGCCAACGAGAAGTCGCTGTATCTTGCCATAATGGTAAGTGGCATTTCTTCTCACAAACACGAAGCACTTACTGACACGTTGACTGAAGCGGACCATACGAGACCTGGTGCATGCATCTATGATCGACTGGTCCAAAGATTATCAGCACCAGAACCCGGTTGTGCTCGGCAAGCTGTTCCGCGCAGTGAGTCGCTTCTCATTGCATATTGTTGATCACCGCTTGAGATGATTGTATGCAGGCCGAGGAGAAGCACCCCTACCTTCAGCGCTTCGAGTGCTCGTGGGCGACTGCCGATCTAGTCAAGCAGTATATTCGTAACCGCCGCAAGGATGCTGTTGCCAAAGGGTACATGGAGCCCCGTGCCAAACGCGCGGCAGCTCATCAGCAGGCGGAGGCCGCCGCGGTTGCAGGTAGTTCGTCCGCATCGGGTTCTGCTGATCTCGGTGACGTCGACGACGAGCCCGAGGACGATGGGATGCAGTGCGACTAGGCTGTTGGTTGTGTGACCTCCTCAAATGCATGTCTAGTTATGGTCGTGGTTAGCTCGTCGTTCTAGCCAGTGCTCTCACATTCGTGTATCGTTTTCTGTCCACTACAGGGCTTTTTTCGCTACTGGTAGCAGCCCAATATCACCCATTCATTCGATTTGAACTTCATTCGTGTGCTGGGGTATTATCCACCTGGGAGATCATCTGCAGACTGACGAAAATGAGGTGCGACATGAGGAACAAAGCCCGTGTGATTGCCTGTTGACTCTAGACTATCGCAGAGGTGAAAAGTGAAGTCGACCATGTGATGGTTGGAATCGATGACGATGACGCCGGTCAAGCGCACTGGGTGAATGCGGTCACATAAGTGGTGATTAACCCCGATACGGAAATGGCCATAATCAAGTCAGAAACTCCCCCGTGCTGAGTGAAGTTCACTCGTTCAGACGTCGTATATCACCGGTAGTCCGGGTGGTTCCTTGGTCGAAAATACCCATGCAATCCCTCTATAGTGTCCAGCGAGAGGTCGCGCAAGAGGCAGCAACGGCGTGTGCAGGTGTCGGGCGAGTCAATGAGGCGCCGGGGTTGACACGTTGACAGCTTGGGCCATGGATCGCTCCGCTTGGACGCGTGGATGCAGGGCGCGGGTCATGATTGGGCGCGGGCTCACGAAGGGGAGCACGCGCCGACCAGTAGCACCTCCGTCTCTGACAGGACGCGTGTTCCCACCACCCATGGCCAGAACGCGTACGTACGAGACTCGTCCCGCGGGCAGGGCACGCAACGCTGTGTGGCCTTTCCACCGGTGAGGCGGATGTGCGTGGTCACGGTGGGCGCAGCGGGCCACATCCAGCCTGGCTCAGGTACGGTACCGCCCGTGCGTACGGTAAGCACGCGCCCGGCGCTGCTATACATTGTTTCGCGCGGCCTCACAGATCCCGCCGTCTGATCTCGACTGTCCCCAGTCCGTCACCGAGATACCGTATATTGCGTGCGTATATGCGCTTCCGTATATTGCGTGCGTATATGCGCTTGATAAGCATCGAACTCGATACCTCGCTGCAACACCCGCTCTCACCGTCAAGCCAGCAGTGCGCAGAACGGTCTCGGGGGATGCGTGCGAGTGGTTGTGCAGATCACGCAATGCAGACGGCGGTGGCTGGCGGTGGGCGTGCCTGGGGCGCGTGGAGCGGGGCTTGGCAGGCGGCCACATCGGCATCGAACTGAGCTGGATCTCGTCCCCGCGATCGATCTCACTGTTCGTCGCCGGCGGCCCCCAGAGCGGGCTCACAGCGGACCGACACGCGGACCCGACTCGAAGCTAGCATGTACGCTCACTGCGGCTTGACGAACGCGTCTCTGAACGGGAGCAGGAACCGCCGTAGTGGCTTTTTATTCTATGGATTCATAAGTATAGGAGGTGGGACTCGAAGTCTGGTAGGTTCGGACACACATCCATGCGGTGCCAGACACTCGCGAGTGGGTGAACATCCCTTATCGCGGCCACCCCACTGATCAGGAGACCCTCGCAGGCTCTTGTCGTGGGTGCGACCAAGTGGCCAGTCGTTGTTGTTCATGGCGTCTTGTTCCAGTCCAGCGGAGGGGACGCAGCACTCGATCGGATCCGGCGCACCACAACTCCACTACAGTAGTAGACTCGGAGTTGACTGGTAGCAGAGCTGGCGACACGGTTCACATGTTCCGTACGTACTCAGATATCCACTGGGAAAGCGTACATACCTTGGAGATTGGGTGCTTGTTGGCTGTAGGCGAACCCCGTGTCGCATGAGGCATGGTTCGCGGCTCGCGCGTCCATACAGGTGCGGAGAGGGCTTGAGCCACGGGCGACGAGTCGAGACGGCTGAGTCCGAAGGCCTAGGGATGCAATTGCGATGGCACAAGGGCCGTGAAGAATGTACTTGAGCGTTGAACATTGAACATTGACTTTGGGTGATGAGGACCACAGATTTGGCGATACCTCTCGATATACATGGGAAAATCGCATACCGGAACGTTCGCCCGCTTCAAGGCATCGTAGCTCTCGCGTGCCTTCGCGATCGGGCCAACCAACGATGGAAGACAACCTGGGAACTCGTGAGCACTTTGCGCGTCTTGACACCCGCGTAGAGAAGCATGCACTCATTAAGACGAGGAAAACCCGCGAGCCTCGCCAGTGGAAGAGCAAGGGCGGCGCCAGTGTTGCTCACGACGAACTTGCAACGGTGAGTCCTATACGGCCTGTTCAGCCCTCTTCATGTTGCGGAACAGAGCAGGAAGACGTACGTGCGAAATACGAAGAGGCCTGTCCGAGTCGCAGACGAGCGGTCCGATTTATCGCTCGTGAGCCACGTGGAACGAAGGCATGCCATGCCCGTGGTCTGTCACGGTGGAAGATACTCGATACGCAGTCAAGCGTCCCCGGCCTTCAGACTCAAGAGACCATCGCGTCCCGACATATTCCCAGGCCCGGCGTCGCAGCTGACTACGAGCCCATATGTATGCGCAAATCGGAGGCTCGGGTGCGCAGCGTGTCTCCGCACAAGTCGGCCGAGCCGCAGTTGAATCGAAGTTGAGGGTACCGCTTCTGGCTGTTCCTATAGTCCTCATGTCCCACATTTTCTCGATGTCTTAAACGCGTCCTGCGCTACCACAGGGTCTCGGACGCCGACATAGTCGTCTCTGCCGCGTTCTGCAGCTCTCGCATGAGCGTGCGTGGTATCTCCGTGCCAATGAGCGGCTTACCTCCGTCTTGCAGGACCATCGATACTGTCGTGTCCGCGAAGCCTATGCGGGCACCTGCATCAGGTCAGCACATACGCGGGATCTCATGCGACACTGCGATAACGAAGTCATAGATTGTCACGCTCTACGCCGAGCACCCCGCAGAAGTGGTCACCTCCAACTCGGCAGAACATCACAGCATCGACTGCTGTATCAACCAGTTCCAGCCCTCGCACCCAGAGTCCTCCATGTGCCGCAAAGCCATGGTCCAAGGGAGCAGGGCGGCGACCCGAGCATCTCCGTATAGGAGGTACTGGACATCGTAAAACCTGCTGTTGCAGCCGAGCAACTGCAGCCGTTTGGCGCCATCGATCATAGCGTCCTCGATCATAGCGTCCTCGAGCACATCTGAGTCCTCGTGCCCGAATCTCTCTATGTACTCGTCCGCATGGACATTGAGGAAGCTGAGGTTCCTGAAATGGTTGTGCTATGGTGTGCAGCGTGAGATCGTCGCTTGCAGATTGACAGCAATACGCACGAGTTCTCTGAAAGCGTTTCGTGCGGTGAAAGCCCCTAATGTCGAGACGGAGAGCACCGAGAGACCCGCAGGCAGGCAACGCTGGAGATCTCGAAGGAGCGGAGCGTCGAGCGTCTGCTCGTCTAACTCCAGATGGAAGACATCGAGGTCCTTGAGAGTAGCGGTCACGTCCAGGAACGCTGGAAGGCGCTCCGCGGTGATCTGAAAGTCGCAGTAAAAACGGCGTAGCTGTGGACAGTGTCGGAGAGCCTCGCAGAGCAGCGCGAAACGCAGATGAATGTTTGCGGACGAGCCCCAATCGTTGTAGGACGTACCCTTGAGCCCGAGCGTGGTAAGACAGGATAAGCGCGCTATCGCAGATGCCAGATCACGGAACAGCTCGTCCTGCGGCTGATATGTGCGGTCACAGAATGAGAGCGATTGCAGCTGCGGCACCTGGCGCAGGAGTGTATCTAGGCCGCTGCAGGATTGCGTGAGCGTGATGTCCAGGTGCCTTAGACTTGGCAGATATGCCAGGGGAATGTCGGTGAGAACGTGGTAGGATAGTCGTATGGTGTGCACGTTTGACATGGGGGTGTTGCAGCTCGTCGTAGAAAGCGAGTGCTTTGACCTAGTTAGGGGTGTTGGGTGAAACGAAACGGACTCGCAGATGCTGTGGAGACGCATGAGCATGGATGACGGCAGTAATTTGAGCGCGTATACACTGAGCCCTCCTTCGCGTCAGGATCAGATCATGTAACAGCGATGGGACGCTCACGGAAGAGAAACGGCACCAAGTAGCGGACAGCCGTTCTCGAGGGCATCGACAACCTCTGGGCAAGGATGGATATGATGACTGAGCCACACAAGAGAGCGCAACTGGTGAAGCGCCCCCATTGCGGCGGCAAGACGATCTGTTGATGCGTTGTCTGTAGCAGCCATATTTAGAGCTCCAAGTCCACTAGTAGAGTGCAGACGACTCACACATCTGATTATTTGCCACATCATCCTCGAAGATATAGACCCGCAAGCTCTTGACCAGCGAGGCGAATAGCGGGTCAGACGCTATACGGCCAATGATACTGGTCGTTCTACCAAATTGCGTCGCTTGCGCCATAGCTCGACCCTCCCCTTTGTCTAACACGGAGATGTCCAAACCCCACCCTTTCGCGGGGTCATAGGTACCAAAGGTTATGGTCACACAGCTGAAGAGTACGGGCGTAGAGAGGTCGCTAAAGGCGTGCGAGATGAGGCGACAGTTGTGCATGTCGGCCTTCGGGAGGTAGGATATGATTTCCTGCCATACTTCCGGAGGCGACTCGTCCAGAGGAGTTCGTCGTGCCATAGATGCAGTGTGGAATTATAGTTTTACAACCGTGTTGCCAACGCCTCGATGTCGAATGCGAGTGACCGAAGGAGAGGAGGGAGAGGAGGTCCGAGTCACGTCCGCGCCACTCTCGCGCCGCTACTTACCTTCTTTCCTCCGTTCGCCGGACGCCCACCACCACCACCACCGTCGCGTCGTTATCGATGCCCTCATGCCGACGTCTCAGATCTTACGCGCAACGTTCAACTCTCAATTTCAGCGTTCAACCCCCAAGCAGAAGCGCGGTCTCATTGCGGCTCGGCCGACTTGTGTGGAGAGCATCTGCACATCCGAGTCTCCGATTTGCGTGATGTAAGCTTGTAGTCAGAACGCGACGCCGGGCCTGGGGATATGACACGATCATGGGCTATACTGAATCTCAACGTTGGGAATGTTTGACTGCATATTTTCCACAGGTACAGGCCTCTCTGGCACGAGGCTCATGAGTGGTGGCTCGGTCAGGTCATCTGCGACTCGAACAGACCTCTTCATTGTTTGCACGTACGTCTTCCTGCTATGCTCCCAAACATGAAGGAGCTGAACAACCCCATAATCTTTATGTGTATATGTAGGACTCACCGGTTCGAGTTCGTCGTGAGCAACGCCGGTGCCGCTCTTGTACTTCCACTGGGGAGGGCCCTCGGGTTGTCCTCGTCATGTTGAGTTCGGCGCAGATGTCATGACTCGGAGAGTGCTCACGAGCTATCAGGTTGTCTTCCGTCGTCGGTTGGCTGGAACTGACATGCGGGGATTACGATATATCGAAGTGAACGAGCGGCGTTCAGGCATGCAATCTCCTCGTATATGCGCATACATCGAAAGGTACCGCTGTATCTGTCCTCGTACTCCTTCGTAGCTTCTTGTGCAAGAGGCTTCAGTTCCGAGTCGTTGGGCACGGGTGCATACTAGTAGTTACTAGTTGCGGTGTAGAGTATGTCGATTGGGAACGGGGAGTTTGCGTCCGGAGCAACCGCCTACGCATACATTCATACCGCACCAGCAAAGGCTATATGAACTCAATGTGCTGTTGAGAGAGAATGATGAATACGGTAATATATACGATGTACTTACATACCGGGGCCGTGGGATGTCACGCGTCTATTTATATGAACGAACTTACATCACGCCTCGCGTTTCTCGCCCACAACACACTCCCCTCGCCAGGCCTACGTCCATAACCTGCACCGCTCGTCTGCTCATCCATATTATGATCATGTTGCAAACTGAACTCATGGGCTTCCTCCAGAACTATGGATACAGCTTTGTCTTGTCTCTCGACACCGGACGCGTGTACATGTCGCCTCGTCTCGCGTGCGTTCAGCAGCCTTGCCATGCCGCAACCTTCGCCAGTATCACCATCGTGGTCGGTGTGGACCTGCAAGTACTTCGCCCACGTTGCTCGGCGCGATTCCACGCGATGAGGCCGAACAAGCCCTCAGGCTAGATGAGGAGCAATGCACTAAAACATCTGGCCTCGTCGCCCGTATAATGAATGACCCGTTCTTCGCCGCGATAGTCAAAAGCTTGCGGGTCCATGTGTTACTCAACTGCCGGAATAAAGTCTCACAAATCGGTACGCTGACAATATCCGCGTGCTTCTATAGCTGCATCTCACTCAGTGTGTTGTGTACATAGTACGCCTTGTGGGGCGATCCCATCCTTGTGCCAGCTGCAGTCATTGGCTTGGTACGATGATCGGCACCAAATGATTCGGTCTGGCAGACGATACTGTGTGCGTTTGACACGCACTGCCCGTTGTTGCGTGTTTGCGCTCTTCCGTGAGCATTCCGTTCTTTGCGTTGTCTCCAGCCACTTACACGACGAATAGAATGTCGTCGTTTCTCCATTTACCAGATGCTATGCGTAACCGCATCTCTGGCCTTTCTTCGACTTCCGATACGTACGACAATCGTGAAATGTCATGGTGTACAACCACGATGACGAGCCTACGTTTGTTCCGATGTTGTGGTCGGAAACTCAGTGACATCCCTGTGTTTCGTCTGCCGAATGTGACCCATTTGGAGATCAAGTCCATGGCCACTTACGACGGTTACGCCGGTCTCGGCGCCACGCTCAGCGAGCTTCGTCAGCTGCGATCGTTGTCCTTGATGTGCATTACCCTGGACCAGACCAATGTCTTCTCAGAAGTCGCATCTGCCATGCCGCTTCTACCAAATCTCAGCGCCCTCGCTCTTCAGCATGTGGTTACGACACAGAGACTTCCGCCATCCACAGTTGCCCTGTTGTGCGAGGCACTCCGGGGCTGTGTCAGTCTTCGCAGGGTGTACTGGGATCACGCTCTATCCCGGGTCAATCTCCCGACATACATGGAAACGATAGCAACGCATAGAGACCTTGAGGCCTTCCACTTAGTGGTACGAGATGAACGGATGTGTGGGTCGCTCCTCCGGTACATCTGCCGGCATCTTCCCCCGCGGCTCTCCGTCCTGTCGCTCTCGAGTATGAAAAAGGGGTGCTACGATGGCCCTTCGGCCTTCGGCTTTCTGGTAAGCACGTCCATACCCGCATTGCTGACGAATCAGCTGATCGAGAGACCATGTAGTGGGCACACTTTACAGACCTGAGTTTTCTAAACGTGCGGATCCGTGGAGGCCCGGCGGTGACGGTGCGGGATGTGATACGAGGTGCACGACGCGTGCAGCTCGTGGGCTATGACTGGCAATTTCGCGAGGTCATACACCGAGACGGTGAACCCGTCTTGTTGCCCGCTTGGCCCACTCGCATGGTCGAACTCTGCGAGATTAAAGATTTTGGCTGCGAGAGCTGGAACTGGCTCATGCGGCACCTCGTCCTTTGACATACGATATGCAGGCAGCGCGACGCATCCTGCTAGGTCCAAATTGTACGTATTTGGTACAGCGACCGTGAACGTATGCTCTTCACGTTGAAACGTTGACGTCCGTTCGGTTAATCACTCCCGCTATGGCTCTTGAGTATTCTGTTTCGTGCTTGCAGGACGCTTAGGACTCCGGCGATGTCTTCGCAGTAGACCCCATGGCTTGATCTCGTTCGTCTCATACTAGCTGTTCAACCCTGCCCTTGTCGCGTAGATGCTACTACTGCCAATGAACTAGCTTCGAAGGCGCATCGCGTCTAGGGTACGGAATTGCAAGGGATCCAAGTTGTCGATGCTGCCTGGGGACTGCTACTACGCAATTCTCTCCGCAGCCACGCCGTAAGTGGGTTCAAGGTGAGAAGATGTATACTCGAGCTCTGCAATGTGAGGATGATGGTGATTTATCGTCTCTGAGCACTGACAACGCAAGTCCTTAGTGCCATCATATTCTTTGAATGGTAGCCTGAAACGGAACAACAGCTCTACTAACGACCCCAGTTGTCAAGATGAATGACCGCCTTGGTGTCATCATGGCAGTCGTTTACCGTGGTCTGTTCAACTTTGCTGCGCGGCGTCTTTCTGGTGCATAAAGAAGTTCACACGCATTCTTGACGCCTACCGTCACACTGTTGACAACACCATTCGCCTACTCATTTGAATATACACTCTGGCAACCCTGTCCGTGTTCTCGCTCTGCTGGCCTCCAAATGCTGCAGTACGCTATGTTGCCTCCGGAGATATGGCACGAGGTAATGGTCCAACTGCCTAGACCCTCTAGACGGATATGTCTGTCGGTCTCGAGAGCTTTTCATCACCTCGCATGGACCTTGTTTTCTCCGAAGTGACCGTCTCCTTTGGTGCCTGGGAGACCCAGCCTGAGGAAGACGAAGAACCTGTCCCGAATACTTACGAGCTAGAAGACGAGCGATCCTCCAGATCGTTTGATCTGCTCAACCGCATAATTGTGGATCCCCTTTCGCGTTGTTGATCAAGGCGGTGGAAGTTCACGCATTCAAAGCTGATAGCGTCAGAGGCGCGTTCGAGATACGTAAGTTATCATCTAGTCTATGTGTATATACAGAATGATGTGATGATGTTCTCTCTAGGGTGTTTGACAACCGCCATAGGCTTCCTGCATAGATTGTCTTCATTGTGTGGTACGGAACCGCGCCGTCACCGACTGCTGCAGTCGTAGAATCGTTGGCGCAATCATGCAGGCTGCTCCGCGATCTGTCCGTGCCGTAAGTACACCCTCACTCCTCGAAACTGGGTGGATTGAAATGTAGTTCTACCAAACAGTCTAAACTCACTTCATGCGCTGCCACTCGAACATATTGAGAGCCTGTGCTCCATCAGCATCACCACGCTGAAGCGGATGTGGCCCCAACAAGGCTTCACAATGGAGCACTCGTTCGTGGCAGCAAGGTGTGAAACTATGCATCAGAACTTGCATACGCTACAGCTTCCGTTTCACTCGGCGGCGGATGTCCCGCTGAGGTACCTACCGAGGCTCACAGATCTAGGCCTGCTCATCATGAAGACACCCGACGAACTCGCATCGGTCCTTCGCCAACTCCCTCAACTCCGCTCACTATCATTCTACTCGCTCGCATCACAAGAAGCCGAGCTATTCGCTGCCCTCTCAACCCTCAAGTCCGATCTTCCCAACTTGACGTCGTTCGCGATACACACCGGAGACGTCGGTATCCTCGAGATGCCCTACACAGAGATGTTTGACAGCTTTCTACGAGACAGGCGCGAGTTGCGACGTCTGTACTGTAGCCTCGAGGTACCCCCGGAGAGCCTGGGTCTGTATCTGGATACAATCAGAACGCTGAAGAACTTGGAGCTCTTTTTTCTCTTGTTGACGAGCCAGCCGTACACCGCCGAGTTCTTCGAGAATCTGCTCTCCCACCTTCCCGCACGTCTCGTTGGAATGGGGCTGACAAGCAGCGGACTCCTGTCCGACGCTAGTGTGTTCGATCAGCTTGTAAGTGACTTCCCGTGCTCAGAACAGCCCCACTAACTCGACCGACACAGTGGACACACTTCACGGACTTTCAATATCTCTACATTCGGACCTGGGAGGCGACGGACGTGGAGGCAGAAGCGATCACCAAGGGCACGAAGTCGCTCCAGCTCTTAGGCTACAACGGCCGCTTTTACGATGTGGAGTACCCCCACGGTAAACCGGCCTTGCTGCCGCCGTGGTCCGCTCGCAAGGTTGCTTTCCGGAATGCGCGCGACTTTGGATGTGAAGGGTGGGAGCGGTTCATGAGCTACCTGGCTATCGAGCCATGAGAGGTGCCGCCTCGGATGGTGCGCGGCCGCGATGGCGGTACTGGGGACTAGAGCTGTGTGGATAGCGTTCGGTGCGTACCCCGTCCTTCTGTGTGACGTCTCTGACTGCAGTCTCGCGTGGGTTGGGATGTGTGCAGTTTGCGGTGTACCGTCATGTGCTGTCAATCTGTCAGTGGATGGTGATTCCTCGTCCGAGAAGCATGCATTCGCCTGCATGGAGATGCTGGAAATGGGCCCTCACGACCGCCCTTCAACGAGGTCGTATTCGTTTTGAGGTCTGCCTGCAGGAAACTGTGGCTCCGTCGAGCCTGACGTTCGCCGCTTGGACCCACTAGCGTACACGCTGCGAAATGCAAAGAATGCTATGCATGTACACCGATGACTAGACTGAGGCTGTTCTGCGACAGAGATGCCCAAGGACGCGCCGTCCTAATAGGTGAATTGTACGTATCTCGGATAGAGATTGTCTGCCCATACATCCGTCCGGCGAACCTGCACATGCGCGCGCGTTTGCGGTCTTCAGGGACACGCTCGGCGATCCGGCGGCTGGTCGACTGTGTCACGGACACAAGGATCTATCGTTGCGTTGCGCCAGTCGCGTATGCCCGCCTTGCGTTGACCAGGTGTCCGCCGGAACTGGCAGAGGCTATGCCCGCGACACAATGGATCCGGAGCGTCCGCTGTCCTCGTGCCGGTGTGTCGCGAACTGGCCGAACACGCGGCGGGAATCTCTGCAAGTTCTGTCAAGGCTTGCCGCAGACTTCGCTCGAGGGAATCTCAACATATCGAAGCTCCCGGGCCCGCGATCACCACCGGTGTGCTGCCAACTGGGTCCGACTGTCACTGGAAGCATGTCCGGTGAGATTGGGAGAAGTTTCCGACAGCTAGCGACCGAAAGCTGCCGCATCAGCGACATGGTGCGGGCATCGGGAACTCGCACTGGACGCTTGTTAGAGTCGGTAAGCTGAGACGGGATCACAACGTCACATCGACGCACGCTTGTTCGCCTGCTCGCGGTGAGCCTCGTACACCCCATCGCGAGTGCTGGGACGACCGCAACAGCACGGCGACGATCGTGTCGGTTGGTCTGCGACAGCGCAGAGACTGACTTTGATCGAGACCTCAGGCTCAGAGAGAGCCATCAATCGCACGAGGGAATCGGCACATCGATGTTCTCTGTGCGTGATTCACGGTACGCCAGTGAGCACCGAAGGTACACATCTTGCGGGAGCCGGCGCGACTGACAACGTAGTGCGCGATGGCCGGGCACACGACTGCGTGTCAAACTGGTCGTAGCGTGCACCACCGCGCCCGCTCCTCTGGCTTCGGGACGTTCGAGGCAGCCACAGTACTGCATCTCGCTCGTTGCGAGCCCGCAGCATGTCTCGCCGCGGAACTCGGGCTTCAAGTTGGCTTCCTCGACAGTCGATATCACTACCAGTCGTAGCAGACCGGTGTCCAAGTCCGATCTGACCGTATGCGTCAGACACCGCAGATAGAGGAAGAGAGCCATACCACCGAAGAGTCACCGCGCCATCGCAGAGTGGCGAAACTACGTCGTGCAGCTATGTTTGAGTATGGCAGGTTCGGAATATATTGGTTGTCATCTCGGAAGACATGGCGTCGGGGGTGTCGACAAGTCCTGTGGATGTATACGGGTTCGGCAAGGCAAAGTGCATGACATGAACAGACAACGAGAACGAGATGAATTCTACAGACTACGCTAATAACACAAAATGAGTTAGAAGTCCAGAATGAGTGAGGTGGCACTCACGCTAACATGCATAGCGATCGTATGAATGCGGGATTGGGACTGGGAATCGACATAGCCAGCCGTCCATCGAGTCCAGTGGTGCGCGTTGCACACAAGCCCGAGACCGATACCCGGTGCAACTCGGGCAGGTGCTCAACGAGGCGTCCCTGTGGGTGACAGGAAGACGAAGGTTTGCGGCGCTGCGGAGCGGCCGGCGCACGTCCAAATGCGGAAGTGATGCGCGCGCCGCATCGGTTGCCTGATTAGTCAACGGCGGAGGGCGCATCAGTTCGTGTGACAGATGCTGGAGCGCCCCACTCACTCAGAGAACCTTCACGCGTGTGAGCGGAGGCACACGTCGACGGGTGGCGACGTGGATATTTGTGGCTGCGCTGTCGCGGCGTTCCTACTCGTGGCGGGAGGCGCGTTCTGACTCGGGTGGGCACGGGCAGTTGACGGTGCGACGGACGAGGAGACGGGTCACGGGCGGGCTGGTGGAGAGCCAGTGCGGGAAGAGGGTGGCGTGAAGGGCGAAGGGGCAGCGCAGAGAGCAGCCTGAGGAGGATCGGAGATCGGGGATCTGGACTGGCGGTGGGACGCAGCTCGTCACTCGTCTCTCGCCCGGGCCCTTCTCTCCTCTGCCTCCGCCGCCCATGTCCGCCCGCCCGCCGTCCGCCCGTCCGCCCGCCGAGTGTGCGCGTTGTGTAGTCGGCGTGCGCGCACCTGCCGCATATGGGAGTGTGGCGCGTGTGACTCTGTGCGTGACTGGCGGCGCGTGACGGGGCGGTGGGGGTTGGGCGGCCGATTGGAATCGTCTGCGCTGCCATCGCGCGATTGCTGGCACAAGGTTATCCGCACGGCCTGCTGCTCTCTTCGCCAAGCACGAGGCCCTCCCCGTCCTCCCCAGCCCCGGCCACCCCGCGATCCCCCATCTGCCCGCTTCTGCGCTCGAACGGGGCGCTGCTATTGTTGTCGCTGCGGCCACCCCCGACGCTGCGACGGCCCCCTCTGTCTGATTCTCCGCCTTTCTGCGGTTCCCTGGGCCTGTCCGCTCACTTTCCACCTCTGTTTCTGTTCCCGGAGCCGGCAGTCTCCACCCGACAACGTAAGTCCGTCCGTCCGTCCGCCTGTCTCGCGCCCCCGCCCGTCCCCTGTCCGCCCTCCTGCCCCTCCCGTGCCGCGGTCCCGTGGATCCACACGCGCTCCCGTCCCTCGACGCGTCCCTCCACACCGTGCCCGCGCATCCCTCGCGTCGTCCTGGCCGTGGGGTGTCCTCCCGCCCCCGCCACGCGTCGTGTTGGTCGTCGTCCGCCCTGGCCGTTGTCCGCGCAGGGTCTCTCCTTTCCGTTCGCGAGGGACTTCGTGCTATTGATCGTTGGTCTCTTGTATGGCACTTTCAATGAGGTCTCGCACGCGTGGCGGGTGGAACGTTCTTCGTTGGGCCGCGTCAGGGCCACCTCTGTTGTTGTGCTTTCGGGGTGGGCCAGAGCTTTACGCAAAGACCCGTTTTTCACGAGTGTCGTTATTGATATGCTTCTCGTTTTCAGGTTGCCTCAGATCGAAGGCTTACGGGAGAACAAACGCGCAGAACTGAATCGACACTTTTGGAGTGTGCGTATACTCTCCTATGTTTCTATGTGTCTACGTCCCCATCTCTCTCTTTTTCGTTCATCTCCCTCGGCGCGTTCCGCGAGACCGCGTTCTTCTGTGCATCCTCTTTGTCCAATAGCGACCTGAAAGCTGTCTCGACGGTGGGCGAGGCCGCTTACGCCTTTCCCCCAACATCGCGCTCGGTTAGAATCGGGCGTCGAGGAGAGACCCGTAGGGTTCTCTTTGAGGACGAACTCGGCTACGCCTCCTGCTTCAGCTCTCAGGGTTGCAGGCGTACGCCCCCCGCCTGTGATTTCTAGCGTCCATGGATCTCTCACGTCGTTTGGCAAGGAAGACGCTTTCCTACCCGCCTAATTCGTGCAATCACTAAAGCCGATTGTGGTCCTACATGCACTCCTCAGCGATGCTGTGCACTCCTGGTTCTTCCTTCTCGATCCCCCTCTGCCGTCGTTTACATGTCTCTTCAAGTCGCTAACGCCTGCCATGCCTGTAGTGCCAGCAACCGCGACTTGCGGCTCCGTAAGGCCCGTTCCGCCATTCACTTCTAGCTCAACTACACGACTTCGAACACGACAATGAACACGTCTCCGACGCAGCCGTCCGCGCACGGCTCGCCGCAGCCGCCGCAGGGCGGCATCAACCCCGCGCTGCTCGCCGGCATGAACCAGGGCCAGGGCGGGATGGGCGGTGGGATGACGCAGGCGCAGATGCAGATGTATGCGCGCGGGATGACCCCGCAGATGATGGCCGCCATGCAACAGCAGGCTATGGGCGGCGGCGGCGGCGGAGGAGGAGGTATGAACACGATGAACATGGGGATGGGAGGAGGAGGAGGAGGAGGTGGAGGAGGGATGGGGAACATGAACATGGGCGGGATGAACCCCGCGATGATGATGCGTCTGATGCAGCAGCAGCAGCAGCAGCAACAGCAGCAGCAACAGCAGCAGCAACAGCAACAACAGCAGCAGCACAGGAACCAGCAGCAGGGCATGGGCGGGCAGGGCGGCGTGAACCCGCAGCAGCTGATGGGCGGTGGCGGAGGGATTAACCCTGCGGCGCTGATGGGCGGAGGAGGCGGGATGAACAACATGGGCGGCGGAGGTATGGGCGGGATGGGGAACATGGGGATGAACGGTACGTGGTACGTTGCGTGTCGAACGCAGGGGCTGACGCGACGCAGGGACGATGAACCCGGCGGCGATGATGATGAACGGCGGCGGCGGGATGGGGAACATGGGGATGGGGAACATGGGCGGGATGAGCAACATGAACAACATGGGGAACATGGGCGGGATGGGCGGCATCAACCCCGCCGCGCTCATGGGAGGTGAGTGCGCCAGTCTGTCGATCCGTGCACCACTGACGGCATACAGGCGCGTCCTCGCCATCCGCGCCGTCGCCGACGATGCCGATCCCGCAGCAGAGCTTCCACGGCGGCGGGTCGCAGCCGACGTCGCCCGCGCTCGACCTCTCGCCCGCGTCGCACTTCGGGATGGGCGGCGGGCACGGGATGAACGGGGGCCAGGGCATGGGCGGGATGGGGGGCATGAACGCGGGGATGGGGATGGCCGCGCCGTCGACGCCCGCGCAGGGGAACATGGGGTCGTTCCAGAACTTTGGGCTGCACCCGGCGCAGCTGGCGGCGCTCGCGCACCTGCCGCCCGCGGAGAGGGACAAGCAGCTGATGCAGATGAAGGCGATGCATATGCAGAGGGCGGCGGCGATGCGCGAGAGGCAGGCGCAGGTGCTCGGCGCGCTGCTGTACGTGTTCAGCATCATCATGCTCAGCCTCGCGCGCCCGGGGGAGTACTATCAGGTGAGTTGGTGTCTTCGCATCTGGTTCTCTCGGGGACGACCCCTCGGTACACTACACGTCCTGCAGCCATTCTCGTGTGTTGGTGGTACGAGCTGGGCACCCCGAGTCTCGTCTTCACCTGCGATGGGCGACACGTCGCGTGAGGCTCGCTGTATTGTGTACGTTTGCCGCGGTCGTGTGCTTCTCACGATATGCTCGTACTGGCACCGTCGCAGTCGGCTGCAACTGTCCCCGACCGCCTGCGCACCGGGCCGTGCGATCGTTGAGGCGAAGAGAGCTTCTGACTGAATGAGCACTCCTCACCCGCGATGCCCGCCGTTCTGTTTTTGACTCTGGGCTCCCGCGCGTTGGGAGATCCTCCCGACTTCTGGTCACCCGCCTCGTTGACCCCGTCTGGTCGTAGCGAAGTGCCTCATGCGACGGCTGTGTGGGGGAAGGGCGGGTCGGAGCGCGCGGCGAGGACGTAGACGTGGCAGATATTGCAATAGACGCCCATGGGCGGCGCTGCTTTGCGGGGCAGAAACTGTCCGCTGAGAAGTGGAAAGATAGGTGCAGTTTACAGACAGAGAGGGAGACGCAGGACACGCCTCTACGGTGTGCGCCTCTGCGGCGAAAGTGGCCTCTGACCATGCCGCCCTCCAGGTGCGTCCGCTCGTCCGTAGAACTACAGAAGTGTACAATACATCGCATTCTGGACGACCGTGCGTGTCCCCTGCTCGCAGCGTGCTCTCCATGTCGGGACGATCTCGCGCCGATCCCGTCACCTCCTGCACTCGACGGTGTACGCGCATCGTCTCCTCCATCGAATCGGTACGTGTCAAAGCGTCGGTCGGCGTCCGCACGTCCGAGTTGAGCCGACTCGGTGTCCCTGTTGTCTACGACGATGCACTCCGCGTTCGAGGTTTGTCGACATGGCGCGTTCATGTCCGGACACCACCTGCAGCTGGTCAGCACCCATCCACGCAAGCCGTGAGCACTCACCCCACATTGCAGGCATGACACTTTGAGTCCGACGTGCAAGTGCTCACCGGTAATTGCAGGGCTGCCCGAGCGAGTGTCTGCGCCCCGACGTACATCTGGACACACCTACTGAATGCCAGTCCGGATCTGTACACGAGAACTAACCCCGTCTTTGACTCACAGTGCATGCCCCTTCTCGGAATCGAGACACAGTACAACACCTCCGTTCGATGCCCGCTACGGATCCGCACTGGACGCGGTCGTCGCGTCCGAGCGGGTCTTTACATGGCCACCAAGGTTCATGCCCGAGCCGGAAGGGCTGTCTGGGCGATGTCGATGTGCCGATCTCATCCCTCGATGGTCACTGCACGGCAGTGCTAAGTCAGCTATCCGGTGTACAAGCCAAAGGTCAGTTAATTCTCACCTGGGATGGCCACCGACGACTGCCCTTGTCCGACAGCCAACAACACCCCTTCGCAAACACTACCCGGGCGTCGCCACTCATCCTCGGAAGCTTCGGGCGCGTGACCGAACGTTCCGCCAGACCGGAGGTACGTGTTGTCGGTACACCCTTACTCGACGCCAGTCAGTACGAATCCGGATACACGCAGTAAGTCTACCTCGCACTCACCGCACTCAAGAAGAGGCTCAATGCCCGGGCCCGGGCATCCCCCTGCGAAAAGCTTTGAATACAACTCGGGACGGAGTTGTTCACGTCCGAGCAAGTCCCTATGCGCCTCGTTCGGTTCATACCCGGAAGGGCAGCTCGGGCGATGTCGACATGCCGATCCGATACCCGGATGCTCGCTGTGTACGAGTCGTCCATCAGCCATCGGACGTATGAGCACAGAGGTCAGTCATTCTCACCTGGGATGCCCGCTCTGGTCTGCCGTTGGGCACTCGTGTCGCCCGTTGATGGCTCCGGGGACGACCCGGGCAGTGCCATTACATTCCCGGGCGCGCATTGCGTGTCCGGGCTTGATCTCGCACCCCACGACTTTGGTGCGTCAGCAGCAACTCCAGACACTGAATCAACGCGAGTCCGTCAGCCTCGCGCCTCGCGCTCGTAAGTTCGATGAACATGCGACGCACTGCCTCATCCGGATGTATTCCCATGTGCGTGTCCATCCCTCGCTACCTCTGTCAATCGCCGGGGGTCAATCGCCGGGGTCGCAGCTTGCTACAGCTTGTGTTGCGCGATCCGGAAGCGGGTGGGACATTGGTGTTCGCAAATTGCGCGTCGGGTTCTTCGGCAAGGGCTTCCGATTGGCACACCGATTCGAGCTGTTCATGGGGTCAGTATAGCCCTGTCCATTACGAGATAGTAGACAAACCTTACGTGCGATGTCTGGATGCTGTATTCGTCCGGTGTGTTCGTCAAACCATCGAGTAGATATACGTTGCCCGCAATCAGACCAAGTCCCAAATATGGCAGTTGTGAGTGTACCGCAGATGCTCGCCACGACCATTACAGTGATACCTGTTGGCCGGCGCATCTTCGTCGTCGGTGGCTGAGGCGTCCAAGTCGAAGTCGGGTGCGTACCGCGTGGCTGAAATTCACACGCACCCCTTCGTCACTGCCGCTCTCGACGCTGTCCGCCGCCTCGCTCGTGTTCTGTCCAGAGTGGTAAGTCGAGCTTGACAGAGCCTGGAGATCAAGGTAGGTCAGTCAATAATGGTATAGGACAGTATGTAGATACTGTACATACCTTTCCGCTGCGATCTCAGAGGAGCAGGGTGGAGGTGAGTGTTGTTGTCAGAGAGAGGCTGCTATCGACGCGAAGTGAGACCAGTGAGCATCATGATTAGATACTCTGGTGTTCGGCCACATCCCCGAGCTCCATGATCACACATTTGCCTGGCCCGGAGAAGCTCTGATTTCTGAAACATCGGCTACGATCATTACATACTCAGTTCCGGTGTCACCGCAACTCATGGCTCCGTGTTCTCGACCTATTCTCCCTCTCAAGGTAAGCCATCCAAGCTTGTAGTGCCTCTCGTACCAGAGGCACAGCCCATACAAGGCTGGCTATACTCTAGACAGCATCCAGTGTATGGCCTGTCTTGTATGGACTGTGTCTCCGGAACAGCACTTGCCAAGCATGGCTGGGCCCATTACATCACTCAATTTCTTACTGATCGGGAGAAGGCCCATCGTCGGCATTGCACTCAGGCTGTAAGAGTTCTGCGGCGAATTGCGAACCTGGCGGGACCGTCTCAGAATTCTGAAGCTCAGGTAGCCCTGATTGGTCATTGATCTCTCAGTACCTCAGTCGTCATCTCACCACTGGCACTCAGGTGCTGTACGAGCCTCAGTACTGTCTACGTGTATCCCGACTTAGTACTTACCATGTGTCAGTCGCCGTCATGGTTCGTAGTGTACGGTGCAGAGCGGGAGTCTGCCAAATCAGGACTGACCTGCCCGAAGCATAGCGCCCCGATCGTGTCAGCGAGATCCCAGATCCCAGAGCGTCCGCGACTTTGACCGTTTCCGCTCAGCATGTCCGCTCACTCATTGTTCTTCTGATCAACCCCGTAGTGAACCAATTTGCCAAATCCAAAAACACTGGTCTCGTCTAAACTACCAAGATTCAATCCGATCCTCCGCAATCTCGCCCTGCGCTACACGCTGCCCGCCACCCGTGCCTTCAACCATCGCGTCAACCTCCGCGTCCACGCGCGCATCGACATCCTCCGTAACCGTCAGCGGCGTAATAGCGCCCCGGTGATGGCAGCGTCGTGGTTTCCCGGATGCCGTCAGTTGGCTCCAGTGGGACTTGAGATCGCAGCGGCTTGCCCGTGTACGAACGGTCTGGGGCTTGAGCGCAGCAACCTCCGACGCTGATTCGACACGTACGAAAGCGAGTTTCCCCTTGTACCACAAGTGGAGCAACTCTGCGACGGGGCCCTGTCCGCCCTTGACCTCGCTAAGATCCTTGAACGGGATCGACTCCGGCCAGCCGACGAGTTTGTAGCGGAAGCGCTTTATGACATGCTTCCAGAAGTCGTGCTCGTTGTATCGCATCCGTGCGTCCGGGCTCCCGGTAAGCCTTTCTGAAAATACAAGGTGAGTAAGCCTGAGTGATATACGAGATGAGTCGAGACACAGACGGAGCTCGGCGGTGAGAAGGCGGCGGAACAGGCCTCTCCTCTCCGAATGTTTCGACGAGTACTGCGGCTGTCGGCTCGCCGAGTCGATTGGACAGACAAGTGTGAGATATTGAGCCATACCACGGAGATGACGACGTGAGGACGGTGCGTTGGACGGGTGCGACGGGCAAGTTACTGTCCACCTTGTCCTTATAAAGCAGCGAGCGTCGGGGCTCGGGACTGTGGCAGACCATTATTTCCCTTGGCTCAGGGTTGCGCGACGCTTACACATCCCTGAGCAGGACGATCCGGGGCCTGGGGCCTGGCGAGACTAGCCAGTGCGAAGCCATGTCAGGATGGGTTGTTCCTGTAAGTCGAAATCGACTTACAGTGGACGAGACTCGAGCTTCGTACGACGAGTCTCGGCAGGAAACCACTCTGCCCGTAGGCTCTTCGCGCTAGTCCGACTCCTATTCACTTTTTCGTCGAGATACAAAGGAATTGGTCTCGCAGCCTGCGGCTGCGATAGCTTTGCGCGTAGATTGAAAAGTGTACAAGACGGGATTTAAGGCTGTGTGATCACCATCTACGGCGAGCTCCCTTCAGGCTGTCGACGACCGACTCTACAGGCTCATTTGGATATTCAGAGATGACTTTCGGTCGCGCACTCACATTGAACTTGAATTCGACACCGTGACGAATCTGCAATCCCATCCGCGCCGGAGCCAAGAATGATTGACTGCCGGACGATCGCCTCGCAATACCGTTCAGCCATCGCGAGTCGTCTCATCTGGTTGGCTGGCTTTCTGCCACGGTTTGTCCGAAGGTTCTTGCCGAGATGGCCTGGCCCATTGTTCCGCTTTCTCCTGATCCGCAGAGAACGCACAGAGCGCGTGGCGGCGGTGTCCTGCGTCCGCAGAGAGCTCTCCGTGACGGGTTCCTTGCCGCGCGATCCTCCGCAAACACAGACGATCTGAGCGTGAGCGAGAGGAGCAGAGACGGTAGGTTTCATTCCACCCTCTCTGCTCGCCTCGCTTCTCCACTGCGGGCTTCGCTAACCAGCGACGGCGACGTCACGGACCGCAACACGCCACGTTGATCTCGGAGACGGCGAGTCTGTAGTTCATTATACCGCAGCTGTTCCGTTTTCGCTCGTTGGCTGGTCACCCGGTAGCACCCCACTTCTCCGTCTTCTAAAGCATTGTATACCGTTCCTGCACCGGGGTAAGCTTACTTTTTGGGTTGTATTGATCGAGTGGCTGACCGTCAACTTACATCATGCGATTACCGACGTAGCTCATTCCGGACGACTGGCCATTCGCAACCCTGGATTAGCGCATCACGGGCCGCGGAATACACTGATCGACCTGTTCACGTACGTTCATCAGACGCACGCCACGGCGACCGATCATACGAAACTGGGGGCGTAACAAACGCCGCCGCTATTAGCCCGGCCTTGGTACGAACGGCAGACGTTCCATGACGCCACACCCGCAGGACCCTGCTTCTGCCGGTTAGTATCGTACCCTCCTCCGTCATCAAACCTCGCTTGCCGGATGACACGGCACCTCAGGGTCCGTGCGCGCGCGCGCAGCTCCGATCCGTCCGACCGAGCCACTATATTAGAGCGCAGAGTGGCCTTACCCGCGCTGGTAGGCGTCCCGACCTCAATCCTCCGGTGCACTGTTTGCCACGTCGATACTGGTGAGTCGACCTAGCCATTACATCTTCGTATGCGTGGCTTACTGCTTCATTCGGTGTGATCTCCCGTGCGACACGTCAACGCATCGGACGTTGGCCAAGATGCCCTGCGGATTGTACCGGTGAGTACAACGCGTTATCGAGACATCGCTGACGTACATACCCGCGTTTGCAGGCCGTCCCGCATTCGACGCGTCCCGGACATCAAGCCGACATCACACGGCTCGACGACGAGACAGTGGTGACGGCCCGGCCAGCACACACCGCCTGTGGTATGTCGTCCACGTAGTCAGCATCCACCCGACTAACGAGCTCGCTGCACACTGACTGTCGTCGCACATCCATTATTCCACGCGGTGTTCTCGAATGCGATCGTTCGTGTTGCGGCCACTCAGGTGAGTTGTTTCCAGCCGCAGAGACGCAGCCGCTGACGACCCTGTCCCCCCGTTCGTTCCCTGCTGCCCGAATCGTCGCTCTGTTGATGCTCCGGACAAGCGTTGGCTTGACAACGTATCTCCCCACATGGCTACACGGTGAGTGCTTTCGTGACCGTCTCGCAGTGACTAAAAGTCCTGTTCCTGTGCCACCGTACACTCGTATGGCATCGGTGTGTAGTCTTCCACGGACCGTCGGCTCTGCGAGCCGCATGTGGCTCGCACCCGATGGAATGGACGGCCCGCGCTGGCCACTGCGGCCTCCCGTCCGCTGATTACCAGCCTAACTGGCTGCTTAGTGTGGCGCGTATACGCTGTGCCCTCTTGACTGCACGCGTCGGTGCTGACTGTACGTCGAGCGGACAGTCGCGCGCGCTGTGAGGGCTTTGGCCCCGGAACGACGGACGAGCTACCAGCCGGACCCGCAGACCGCCAGAAAGGTGCTAGGGAACAACGGGTACGATCGGTAGCGCGGATGCACACGGGTCCGCCCCGCATACGCGCAGAGTGGGCGTAGTGGTAGCGTAATAGCGGGTGTAGCACGTTCTGTACAAGGGCGTATCTAACGGGTGCGACGGACGACTCGCGTGGCGGGGTGGCCGACGACGGAGACGCGTGGGTGAATGGAGAAGCGGGACGGTCGGAGCGTGTCAAGGGGGCAGGGACTTACCTGTAGAACAGGGGCAGAGCCCAGCGTTGTCCGTAGCAGACAAGGTCACGCCCAGGTCGCTGGGAACGTGACCGAGGGCGTGTCGGAGTCGGGGGTGCACGCGACGGTGCGCGCGAGACGCGAGACGCGGGACGTCCGTGGGCTTGTCGGGGAAGCGTGGGATGCGCTGAGGGATGGATGACCGAGCCTGGACGTGGAAGAAGTCGACTCGAGGACGAAACCGGCGGCGCTGACTGAGGCAGCGGTGGCGACCGGCGAATGACGAGGGACGTGTTCCCGGTGCGAGTGGACAAGCTCGGCGTGATGTGGCAGGCAGGCGGCGGCGGTGCTGAGCAGTCCAGAGGGCGTCGTGCGTCGCTGAGGGGCAGACGACGTGCAGAGGTCGCCGGTTGTGTGTGAGGCAAGCGGGTCGGCGAGAGCGGACAGGTGCGAGAGGCGGGCCGGAGGCTCGCAGACAGAGAGCGGGGCGTCGACGTCGTCGTAGTCAGGGCGCAGACGCGTCGTGGAGGATGCGGAGGACGTTGAGCAGCTGCGTCCACGGCGCGCGTCTCGAAGCGCCGAACCAGACGCGCTCACGTGCCGTTCCCTGCAAGGGCTGCACCGACGTGATCGAGACGTCCAGCTGTCCGACGGCGTGCCTCTGCCCGCTGCTGCCCCTTGGCGACGCATGGACCCTTCTCAGTACACGGCCGTGCCCCGCGTACAGCACTCGACTCACTTGCGTGACGTGGACTCGGAGGGCGGTTTCGTGCGGGTGGAGAGCTTTGGGGTGGTGGATGACAGAGCGGCGGGCGACCGGCTACTGGTGAGTCTCCGTCCTCTCCGGCGAGGTCGTATTCGTTTTGAGGGTTTGCCTGCAGGAAAATGTGGCTCCGTCGAGCCTGACGTTCGCCGCTTGGACCCCACTAGCGTACACGCTGCGAAATGCAAAGAATGCTATGCATGTACACCGATGACTAGACTGAGGCTGTTCTGCGACAGAGATGCCCAAGGACGCGCCGTCCTAATAGGTGAATTGTACGTATCTCGGATAGAGATTGTTTGCCCATACATCCGTCCGGCGAACCTGCACATTGCGCGCGCGTTTGCGGTCTTCAGGGACACGCTCGGCGATCCGGCGGCTGGTCGACTGTGTCACGGACACAAGGATCTATCGTTGCGTTGCGCCAGTCGCGTATGCCCGCCTTGCGTTGACCAGGTGTCCGCCGGAACTGGCAGAGGCTATGCCCGCGACGCAATGGATCCGGAGCGTCCGCTGTCCTCGTGCCGGTGTGTCGCGAACTGGCCGAACACGCGGCGGGAATCTCTGCAAGTTCTGTCAAGGCTTGCCGCAGACTTCGCTCGAGGGAATCTCAACATATCGAAGCTCCCGGGCCCGCGATCACCACCGGTGTGCTGCCAACTGGGTCCGACTGTCACTGGAAGCATGTCCGGTGAGATTGGGAGAAGTTTCCGACAGCTAGCGACCGAAAGCTGCCGCATCAGCGACATGGTGCGGGCATCGGGAACTCGCACTGGACGCTTGTTAGAGTCGGTAAGCTGAGACGGGATCACAACGTCACATCGACGCACGCTTGTTCGCCTGCTCGCGGTGAGCCTCGTACACCCCATCGCGAGTGCTGGGACGACCGCAACAGCACGGCGACGATCGTGTCGGTTGGTCTGCGACAGCGCAGAGACTGACTTTGATCGAGACCTCAGGCTCAGAGAGAGCCATCAATCGCACGAGGGAATCGGCACATCAATGTTCTCTGTGCGTGATTCAGGGTACGCCAGTGAGCACCGAAGGTACACATCTTGCGGGAGCCGGCGCGACTGACAACGTAGTGCGCGATGGCCGGGCACACGACTGCGTGTCAAACTGGTCGTAGCGTGCACCACCGCGCCCGCTCCTCTGGCTTCGGGACGTTCGAGGCAGCCACAGTACTGCATCTCGCTCGTTGCGAGCCCGCAGCATGTCTCGCCGCGGAACTCGGGCTTCAAGTTGGCTTCCTCGACAGTCGATATCACTACCAGTCGTAGCAGACCGGTGTCCAAGTCCGATCTGACCGTATGCGTCAGACACCGCAGATAGAGGAAGAGAGCCATACCACCGAAGAGTCACCGCGCCATCGCAGAGTGGCGAGACTACGTCGTGCATTGGTCGGAAAACGTGCATCTGACATGTAAGTCCTAGCGAAGCCTTACAGTCGTGTCAAGGCTTATAAGGCACTGCGGGGGATCTGGTAAGTCGTGATCAGGCTGTGATCAGGCAGCGTAATCACGGTTATGTTCATATCATCACTTCCCCACAGGATCCACCCAAGGCGGCTCGTCTGCCTGACTATTCCCGCCACAGTTGGAGCTTTGAACGTGACGATCCGCAGGCTGCTCAGAATGCAAAGATTTGTCTATGGCCCCCAATCCGCCCATGTGTATTACATGTGTGTGCGATGCGACCGCGACGCTTGACTTCGTGAACAGTCGTGTCAAGATCTCAGTCTAAGTTGGTCTATTGTGCTCACTGATGTGTAAGGATCCGTTGTAAGAGAATATGAAATAAGACAAGTGGCGTTAGTTCAGGTAGTGTATGTATCACAGTATGGTAGGACCTGGAGCCTTGCGAGAGCGGGGCGTCCGCCGGGTTGCGTCCCGGTGCGAGGGTTTTGTCGCAATTTCTTCCGGTTCCACATATGCCCAGATAAGTACGTCCATATCAGATGCTGTCAGGCTGATAAGGCACCGTAAGACGGATATGGGGTGATAAGTACCGGATAATGTTTTTTCGATGCACACTTGAATGCAGCCAGAATCCTGACGGTCTTATACGGCCATGTCACTACATGTAGGGCTGGACATGGAAAATTCGATTTTTCTGACTGACAGCTATGTTTGAGTATGGCAGGTTCGGAATATATTGGTTGTCATCTCGGAAGACATGGCGTCGGGGGTGTCGACAAATCCTGTGGATGTATACGGGTTCGGCAAGGCAAAGTGCATGACATGAACAGACAACGAGAACGAGATGAAATCTACAGACTACGCTAATAACACAAAATGAGTTAGAGAGTCCAGAATGAGTGAGGTGGCACTCACGCTAACATGCATAGCGATCGTATGAATGCGAGATTGGGACTCGGAGACTGGGAATCGACATAGCCAGCCGTCCATCGAGTCCAGTGGTGCGCGTTGCACATATGTACATAGGCCCGAGACCGATGCCCGGTGCAACTCGGGCAGGTGCTCAACGAGGCGTCCCTGTGGGTGACAGGAAGACGAAGGTTTGCGGCGCTGCGGAGCGGCCGGCGCACGTCCAAATGCGGAAGTGATGCGCGCGCCGCATCGGTTGCCTGATTAGTCAACGGCGGAGGGCGCATGAGTTCGTGTGACAGATGCTGGAGCGCCCCACTCACTCAGAGAACGTTCACGCGTGTGAGCGGGGCAGACGTCGACGGGTGGCGACGTGGATATTTGTGGCTGCGCTGTCGCGGCGTTCCTACTCGTGGCGGGAGGCGCGTTCTGACTCGGGTGGGCACGGGCAGTTGACGGTGCGACGGACGAGGAGACGGGTCACGGGCGGGCTGGTGGAGAGCCAGTGCGGGAAGAGGGTGGCGTGAAGGGCGAAGGGGCAGCGCAGAGAGCAGCCTGAGGAGGATCGGAGATCGGGGATCTGGACTGGCGGTGGGACGCAGCTCGTCACTCGTCTCTCGCCCGGGCCCTTCTCTCCTCTGCCTCCGCCGCCCATGTCTGTCCGCCCGCCGTCCGCCGTCCGCCCGCCGAGTGTGGCGTTGTGCAGTCGGCGTGCGCGCACCTGCCGCATATGGGAGTGTGGCGCGTGTGACTCTGAGCGTGACTGGCGGCGCGTGACGGGGCGGTGGGGGTTGGGCGGCCGATTGGAATCGTCTCGCTGCCATCGCGCGATTGCTGGCACAAGGTTATCCGCACGGCCTGCTGTCTCTTCGCCAAGCACGAGGCCCTCCCCGTCCTCCCCAGCCCCGGCACCCCGCGATCCCCCATCGCCCGCTTCTGCGCTCGAACGGGGCGCTGCTATTGTTGTCGCTGCGGACACCCCGACGCTGCGACGGCCCCTCTGTCTGATTCTCCGCCTTTCCGCGGTTCCCTGGGCCTGTCCGCTCACTTTCCACCTCTGTTTCTGTTCCCGGCCGGCAGTCTCCACCCGACAACGTAAGTCCGTCCGCCTGTCTCGCGCCCCCGCCCGTCCCCTGTCCGCCCTCCTGCCCTCCCGTGCCGCGGTCCCGTGGATCCACACGCGTCCCGTCCCTCGACGCGTCCCTCCACACCGTCTCCGCCATCCCTCGCGTCGTCCTGGCGTGGGGTGTCCTCCCGCCCCCGCCACGCGTCGTGTTGGTCGTCGTCCGCCTGCCGTTGTCGAGTCTCTCCTTTCCGTTCGCGAGGGACTTCGTGCTATGATCGTTGGTCTCTTGTATGCACTTCAATGAGGTCTCGTACGCGTGGCGGGTGGAACGTTCTTCGTTGACCCACGACAACGCCACTTCTGTCTTCCGCTTTGGACAACCGTTTCCTCTTGCCTCGTTCTCCGTCCCACATTCTGACATCTTACTTCAGCAGGCCTTTTGAACCTGGTAGGCGTGACCAGCGTGCTCGCTCAGGATACGCAACAAAGAGAAGTGGTACTCGGTGCGTATCTCTTTCTCGCTCGCATCCCGCGTCTCAATCTTCCCATTCAACGTCGTCGTCTCGCTCATTCGTTCTGGCTAACACGCATCGTGCTCACAGGTCAAACACCCTCGACCGACGGCGCCCTAAGGCCCGCTCCGCCATTCGCTTCTAGCCCAACTACACGACTTCGAACACGACCATGAACACGTCTCCGACGCAGCCGTCCGCGCACGGCTCGCCGCAGCCGCCGCAGGGCGGAATCAACCCCGCGCTGCTCGCCGGCATGAACCAGGGCCAGGGCGGGATGGGCGGCGGGATGACGCAGGCGCAGATGCAGATGTATGCGCGCGGGATGACGCCGCAGATGATGGCCGCCATGCAGCAGCAGGCTATGGGCGGCGGCGGAGGAGGCGGAGGGATGAACACGATGAACATGGGGATGGGAGGTGGTGGTGGCGGCGGAGGCGGAGGGATGGGGAACATGAATATAGGCGGAATGAACCCCGCGATGATGATGCGTCTGATGCAGCAGCAGCAGCAGCAGCAGCAACAACAGCAGCAGCAACAGCAACAACAACAACAACAGAGGAACCAGCAGCAGGGCATGGGCGGGCAGGGCGGCGTGAACCCGCAGCAGCTGATGGGCGGTGGCGGAGGGATTAACCCTGCGGCGCTGATGGGCGGAGGAGGCGGGATGAACAACATGGGCGGCGGAGGTATGGGCGGGATGGGGAACATGGGGATGAACGGTACGTGGTACGTTGTGTGTCGGACGCGGGCGCTGACGGGACGCAGGGACGATGAACCCGGCGGCGATGATGATGAACGGCGGCGGCGGGATGGGGAACATGGGGATGGGCGGCATGGGCGGGATGAGCAACATGAACATGGGGAACATGGGCGGGATGGGCGGCATCAACCCCGCCGCGCTCATGGGAGGTGAGTGCGCCAACCTGTCTATCCGTTCATCGCTGACGGTCTGCAGGCGCGTCTTCGCCATCCGCGCCGTCGCCGACGATGCCGAGCCCGCAGCAGAGCTTCCACGGCGGCGGGTCGCAGCCGACGTCGCCCGCGCTCGACCTCTCGCCCGCGTCGCACTTCGGGATGGGCGGCGGGCAGGGGATGAACGGGATGGGTGCGGGCCAGGGCATGGGCGGGATGGGGGGCATGAACGCGGGGATGGGGATCCACGCGCCGTCGACGCCAGCGCAGGGGTCCATGGGCCAGAACATGGGGTCGTTCCAGAACTTTGGGCTGCACCCGGCGCAGCTGGCGGCGCTCGCGCACCTGCCGCCCGCGGAGAGGGACAAGCAGCTGATGCAGATGAAGGCGATGCATATGCAGAGGGCGGCGGCGATGCGCGAGAGGCAGGCGCAGGTGCTCGGCGCGCTGCTGTACGTGTTCAGCATCATCATGCTCAGCCTCGCGCGCCCGGGGGAGTACTATCAGGTGAGTTGGTGTCTTCGCATCTGGTTCTCTCGGGGACGACCCCTCGGTACACTACACGTCCTGCAGCCATTCTCGTGTGTTGGTGGTACGAGCTGGGCACCCCGAGTCTCGTCTTCACCTGCGATGGGCGACACGTCGCGTGAGGCTCGCTGTATTGTGTACGTTTGCCGCGGTCGTGTGCTTCTCACGATATGCTCGTACTGGCACCGTCGCAGTCGGCTGCAACTGTCCCCGACCGCCTGCGCACCGGGCCGTGCGATCGTTGAGGCGAAGAGAGCTTCTGACTGAATGAGCACTCCTCACCCGCGATGCCCGCCGTTCTGTTTTTGACTCTGGGCTCCCGCGCGTTGGGAGATCCTCCCGACTTCTGGTCACCCGCCTCGTTGACCCCGTCTGGTCGTAGCGAAGTGCCTCATGCGACGGCTGTGTGGGGGAAGGGCGGGTCGGAGCGCGCGGCGAGGACGTAGACGTGGCAGATATTGCAATAGACGCCCATGGGCGGCGCTGCTTTGCGGGGCAGAAACTGTCCGCTGAGAAGTGGAAAGATAGGTGCAGTTTACAGACAGAGAGGGAGACGCAGGACACGCCTCTACGGTGTGCGCCTCTGCGGCGAAAGTGGCCTCTGACCATGCCGCCCTCCAGGTGCGTCCGCTCGTCCGTAGAACTACAGAAGTGTACAATACATCGCATTCTGGACGACCGTGCGTGTCCCCTGCTCGCAGCGTGCTCTCCATGTCGGGACGATCTCGCGCCGATCCCGTCACCTCCTGCACTCGACGGTGTACGCGCATCGTCTCCTCCATCGAATCGGTACGTGTCAAAGCGTCGGTCGGCGTCCGCACGTCCGAGTTGAGCCGACTCGGTGTCCCTGTTGTCTACGACGATGCACTCCGCGTTCGAGGTTTGTCGACATGGCGCGTTCATGTCCGGACACCACCTGCAGCTGGTCAGCACCCATCCACGCAAGCCGTGAGCACTCACCCCACATTGCAGGCATGACACTTTGAGTCCGACGTGCAAGTGCTCACCGGTAATTGCAGGGCTGCCCGAGCGAGTGTCTGCGCCCCGACGTACATCTGGACACACCTACTGAATGCCAGTCCGGATCTGTACACGAGAACTAACCCCGTCTTTGACTCACAGTGCATGCCCCTTCTCGGAATCGAGACACAGTACAACACCTCCGTTCGATGCCCGCTACGGATCCGCACTGGACGCGGTCGTCGCGTCCGAGCGGGTCTTTACATGGCCACCAAGGTTCATGCCCGAGCCGGAAGGGCTGTCTGGGCGATGTCGATGTGCCGATCTCATCCCTCGATGGTCACTGCACGGCAGTGCTAAGTCAGCTATCCGGTGTACAAGCCAAAGGTCAGTTAATTCTCACCTGGGATGGCCACCGACGACTGCCCTTGTCCGACAGCCAACAACACCCCTTCGCAAACACTACCCGGGCGTCGCCACTCATCCTCGGAAGCTTCGGGCGCGTGACCGAACGTTCCGCCAGACCGGAGGTACGTGTTGTCGGTACACCCTTACTCGACGCCAGTCAGTACGAATCCGGATACACGCAGTAAGTCTACCTCGCACTCACCGCACTCAAGAAGAGGCTCAATGCCCGGGCCCGGGCATCCCCCTGCGAAAAGCTTTGAATACAACTCGGGACGGAGTTGTTCACGTCCGAGCAAGTCCCTATGCGCCTCGTTCGGTTCATACCCGGAAGGGCAGCTCGGGCGATGTCGACATGCCGATCCGATACCCGGATGCTCGCTGTGTACGAGTCGTCCATCAGCCATCGGACGTATGAGCACAGAGGTCAGTCATTCTCACCTGGGATGCCCGCTCTGGTCTGCCGTTGGGCACTCGTGTCGCCCGTTGATGGCTCCGGGGACGACCCGGGCAGTGCCATTACATTCCCGGGCGCGCATTGCGTGTCCGGGCTTGATCTCGCACCCCACGACTTTGGTGCGTCAGCAGCAACTCCAGACACTGAATCAACGCGAGTCCGTCAGCCTCGCGCCTCGCGCTCGTAAGTTCGATGAACATGCGACGCACTGCCTCATCCGGATGTATTCCCATGTGCGTGTCCATCCCTCGCTACCTCTGTCAATCGCCGGGGGTCAATCGCCGGGGTCGCAGCTTGCTACAGCTTGTGTTGCGCGATCCGGAAGCGGGTGGGACATTGGTGTTCGCAAATTGCGCGTCGGGTTCTTCGGCAAGGGCTTCCGATTGGCACACCGATTCGAGCTGTTCATGGGGTCAGTATAGCCCTGTCCATTACGAGATAGTAGACAAACCTTACGTGCGATGTCTGGATGCTGTATTCGTCCGGTGTGTTCGTCAAACCATCGAGTAGATATACGTTGCCCGCAATCAGACCAAGTCCCAAATATGGCAGTTGTGAGTGTACCGCAGATGCTCGCCACGACCATTACAGTGATACCTGTTGGCCGGCGCATCTTCGTCGTCGGTGGCTGAGGCGTCCAAGTCGAAGTCGGGTGCGTACCGCGTGGCTGAAATTCACACGCACCCCTTCGTCACTGCCGCTCTCGACGCTGTCCGCCGCCTCGCTCGTGTTCTGTCCAGAGTGGTAAGTCGAGCTTGACAGAGCCTGGAGATCAAGGTAGGTCAGTCAATAATGGTATAGGACAGTATGTAGATACTGTACATACCTTTCCGCTGCGATCTCAGAGGAGCAGGGTGGAGGTGAGTGTTGTTGTCAGAGAGAGGCTGCTATCGACGCGAAGTGAGACCAGTGAGCATCATGATTAGATACTCTGGTGTTCGGCCACATCCCCGAGCTCCATGATCACACATTTGCCTGGCCCGGAGAAGCTCTGATTTCTGAAACATCGGCTACGATCATTACATACTCAGTTCCGGTGTCACCGCAACTCATGGCTCCGTGTTCTCGACCTATTCTCCCTCTCAAGGTAAGCCATCCAAGCTTGTAGTGCCTCTCGTACCAGAGGCACAGCCCATACAAGGCTGGCTATACTCTAGACAGCATCCAGTGTATGGCCTGTCTTGTATGGACTGTGTCTCCGGAACAGCACTTGCCAAGCATGGCTGGGCCCATTACATCACTCAATTTCTTACTGATCGGGAGAAGGCCCATCGTCGGCATTGCACTCAGGCTGTAAGAGTTCTGCGGCGAATTGCGAACCTGGCGGGACCGTCTCAGAATTCTGAAGCTCAGGTAGCCCTGATTGGTCATTGATCTCTCAGTACCTCAGTCGTCATCTCACCACTGGCACTCAGGTGCTGTACGAGCCTCAGTACTGTCTACGTGTATCCCGACTTAGTACTTACCATGTGTCAGTCGCCGTCATGGTTCGTAGTGTACGGTGCAGAGCGGGAGTCTGCCAAATCAGGACTGACCTGCCCGAAGCATAGCGCCCCGATCGTGTCAGCGAGATCCCAGATCCCAGAGCGTCCGCGACTTTGACCGTTTCCGCTCAGCATGTCCGCTCACTCATTGTTCTTCTGATCAACCCCGTAGTGAACCAATTTGCCAAATCCAAAAACACTGGTCTCGTCTAAACTACCAAGATTCAATCCGATCCTCCGCAATCTCGCCCTGCGCTACACGCTGCCCGCCACCCGTGCCTTCAACCATCGCGTCAACCTCCGCGTCCACGCGCGCATCGACATCCTCCGTAACCGTCAGCGGCGTAATAGCGCCCCGGTGATGGCAGCGTCGTGGTTTCCCGGATGCCGTCAGTTGGCTCCAGTGGGACTTGAGATCGCAGCGGCTTGCCCGTGTACGAACGGTCTGGGGCTTGAGCGCAGCAACCTCCGACGCTGATTCGACACGTACGAAAGCGAGTTTCCCCTTGTACCACAAGTGGAGCAACTCTGCGACGGGGCCCTGTCCGCCCTTGACCTCGCTAAGATCCTTGAACGGGATCGACTCCGGCCAGCCGACGAGTTTGTAGCGGAAGCGCTTTATGACATGCTTCCAGAAGTCGTGCTCGTTGTATCGCATCCGTGCGTCCGGGCTCCCGGTAAGCCTTTCTGAAAATACAAGGTGAGTAAGCCTGAGTGATATACGAGATGAGTCGAGACACAGACGGAGCTCGGCGGTGAGAAGGCGGCGGAACAGGCCTCTCCTCTCCGAATGTTTCGACGAGTACTGCGGCTGTCGGCTCGCCGAGTCGATTGGACAGACAAGTGTGAGATATTGAGCCATACCACGGAGATGACGACGTGAGGACGGTGCGTTGGACGGGTGCGACGGGCAAGTTACTGTCCACCTTGTCCTTATAAAGCAGCGAGCGTCGGGGCTCGGGACTGTGGCAGACCATTATTTCCCTTGGCTCAGGGTTGCGCGACGCTTACACATCCCTGAGCAGGACGATCCGGGGCCTGGGGCCTGGCGAGACTAGCCAGTGCGAAGCCATGTCAGGATGGGTTGTTCCTGTAAGTCGAAATCGACTTACAGTGGACGAGACTCGAGCTTCGTACGACGAGTCTCGGCAGGAAACCACTCTGCCCGTAGGCTCTTCGCGCTAGTCCGACTCCTATTCACTTTTTCGTCGAGATACAAAGGAATTGGTCTCGCAGCCTGCGGCTGCGATAGCTTTGCGCGTAGATTGAAAAGTGTACAAGACGGGATTTAAGGCTGTGTGATCACCATCTACGGCGAGCTCCCTTCAGGCTGTCGACGACCGACTCTACAGGCTCATTTGGATATTCAGAGATGACTTTCGGTCGCGCACTCACATTGAACTTGAATTCGACACCGTGACGAATCTGCAATCCCATCCGCGCCGGAGCCAAGAATGATTGACTGCCGGACGATCGCCTCGCAATACCGTTCAGCCATCGCGAGTCGTCTCATCTGGTTGGCTGGCTTTCTGCCACGGTTTGTCCGAAGGTTCTTGCCGAGATGGCCTGGCCCATTGTTCCGCTTTCTCCTGATCCGCAGAGAACGCACAGAGCGCGTGGCGGCGGTGTCCTGCGTCCGCAGAGAGCTCTCCGTGACGGGTTCCTTGCCGCGCGATCCTCCGCAAACACAGACGATCTGAGCGTGAGCGAGAGGAGCAGAGACGGTAGGTTTCATTCCACCCTCTCTGCTCGCCTCGCTTCTCCACTGCGGGCTTCGCTAACCAGCGACGGCGACGTCACGGACCGCAACACGCCACGTTGATCTCGGAGACGGCGAGTCTGTAGTTCATTATACCGCAGCTGTTCCGTTTTCGCTCGTTGGCTGGTCACCCGGTAGCACCCCACTTCTCCGTCTTCTAAAGCATTGTATACCGTTCCTGCACCGGGGTAAGCTTACTTTTTGGGTTGTATTGATCGAGTGGCTGACCGTCAACTTACATCATGCGATTACCGACGTAGCTCATTCCGGACGACTGGCCATTCGCAACCCTGGATTAGCGCATCACGGGCCGCGGAATACACTGATCGACCTGTTCACGTACGTTCATCAGACGCACGCCACGGCGACCGATCATACGAAACTGGGGGCGTAACAAACGCCGCCGCTATTAGCCCGGCCTTGGTACGAACGGCAGACGTTCCATGACGCCACACCCGCAGGACCCTGCTTCTGCCGGTTAGTATCGTACCCTCCTCCGTCATCAAACCTCGCTTGCCGGATGACACGGCACCTCAGGGTCCGTGCGCGCGCGCGCAGCTCCGATCCGTCCGACCGAGCCACTATATTAGAGCGCAGAGTGGCCTTACCCGCGCTGGTAGGCGTCCCGACCTCAATCCTCCGGTGCACTGTTTGCCACGTCGATACTGGTGAGTCGACCTAGCCATTACATCTTCGTATGCGTGGCTTACTGCTTCATTCGGTGTGATCTCCCGTGCGACACGTCAACGCATCGGACGTTGGCCAAGATGCCCTGCGGATTGTACCGGTGAGTACAACGCGTTATCGAGACATCGCTGACGTACATACCCGCGTTTGCAGGCCGTCCCGCATTCGACGCGTCCCGGACATCAAGCCGACATCACACGGCTCGACGACGAGACAGTGGTGACGGCCCGGCCAGCACACACCGCCTGTGGTATGTCGTCCACGTAGTCAGCATCCACCCGACTAACGAGCTCGCTGCACACTGACTGTCGTCGCACATCCATTATTCCACGCGGTGTTCTCGAATGCGATCGTTCGTGTTGCGGCCACTCAGGTGAGTTGTTTCCAGCCGCAGAGACGCAGCCGCTGACGACCCTGTCCCCCCGTTCGTTCCCTGCTGCCCGAATCGTCGCTCTGTTAATGCTCCGGACAAGCGTTGGCTTGACAACGTATCTCCCCACATGGCTACACGGTGAGTGCTTTCGTGACCGTCTCGCAGTGACTAAAAGTCCTGTTCCTGTGCCACCGTACACTCGTATGGCATCGGTGTGTAGTCTTCCACGGACCGTCGGCTCTGCGAGCCGCATGTGGCTCGCACCCGATGGAATGGACGGCCCGCGCTGGCCACTGCGGCCTCCCGTCCGCTGATTACCAGCCTAACTGGCTGCTTAGTGTGGCGCGTATACGCTGTGCCCTCTTGACTGCACGCGTCGGTGCTGACTGTACGTCGAGCGGACAGTCGCGCGCGCTGTGAGGGCTTTGGCCCCGGAACGACGGACGAGCTACCAGCCGGACCCGCAGACCGCCAGAAAGGTGCTAGGGAACAACGGGTACGATCGGTAGCGCGGATGCACACGGGTCCGCCCCGCATACGCGCAGAGTGGGCGTAGTGGTAGCGTAATAGCGGGTGTAGCACGTTCTGTACAAGGGCGTATCTAACGGGTGCGACGGACGACTCGCGTGGCGGGGTGGCCGACGACGGAGACGCGTGGGTGAATGGAGAAGCGGGACGGTCGGAGCGTGTCAAGGGGGCAGGGACTTACCTGTAGAACAGGGGCAGAGCCCAGCGTTGTCCGTAGCAGACAAGGTCACGCCCAGGTCGCTGGGAACGTGACCGAGGGCGTGTCGGAGTCGGGGGTGCACGCGACGGTGCGGGCGAGACGCGAGACGCGGGACGTCCGTGGGCTTGTCGGGGAAGCGTGGGATGCGCTGAGGGATGGATGACCGAGCCTGGACGTGGAAGAAGTCGACTCGAGGACGAAACCGGCGGCGCTGACTGAGGCAGCGGTGGCGACCGGCGAATGACGAGGGACGTGTTCCCGGTGCGAGTGGACAAGCTCGGCGTGATGTGGCAGGCAGGCGGCGGCGGTGCTGAGCAGTCCAGAGGGCGTCGTGCGTCGCTGAGGGGCAGACGACGTGCAGAGGTCGCCGGTTGTGTGTGAGGCAAGCGGGTCGGCGAGAGCGGACAGGTGCGAGAGGCGGGCCGGAGGCTCGCAGACAGAGAGCGGGGCGTCGACGTCGTCGTAGTCAGGGCGCAGACGCGTCGTGGAGGATGCGGAGGACGTTGAGCAGCTGCGTCCACGGCGCGCGTCTCGAAGCGCCGAACCAGACGCGCTCACGTGCCGTTCCCTGCAAGGGCTGCACCGACGTGATCGAGACGTCCAGCTGTCCGACGGCGTGCCTCTGCCCGCTGCTGCCCCTTGGCGACGCATGGACCCTTCTCAGTACACGGCCGTGCCCCGCGTACAGCACTCGACTCACTTGCGTGACGTGGACTCGGAGGGCGGTTTCGTGCGGGTGGAGAGCTTTGGGGTGGTGGATGACAGAGCGGCGGGCGACCGGCTACTGGTGAGTCTCCGTCCTCTCCGGCGAGGTCGTATTCGTTTTGAGGGTTTGCCTGCAGGAAACTGTGGCTCCGTCGAGCCTGACGTTCGCCGCTTGGACCCCACTAGCGTACACGCTGCGAAATGCAAAGAATGCTATGCATGTACACCGATGACTAGACTGAGGCTGTTCTGCGACAGAGATGCCCAAGGACGCGCCGTCCTAATAGGTGAATTGTACGTATCTCGGATAGAGATTGTTTGCCCATACATCCGTCCGGCGAACCTGCACATTGCGCGCGCGTTTGCGGTCTTCAGGGACACGCTCGGCGATCCGGCGGCTGGTCGACTGTGTCACGGACACAAGGATCTATCGTTGCGTTGCGCCAGTCGCGTATGCCCGCCTTGCGTTGACCAGGTGTCCGCCGGAACTGGCAGAGGCTATGCCCGCGACGCAATGGTCCTGGATCCGGAGCGTCCGCTGTCCTCGTGCCGGTGTGTCGCGAACTGGCCGAACACGCGGCGGGAATCTCTGCAAGTTCTGTCAAGGCTTGCCGCAGACTTCGCTCGAGGGAATCTCAACATATCGAAGCTCCCGGGCCCGCGATCACCACCGGTGTGCTGCCAACTGGGTCCGACTGTCACTGGAAGCATGTCCGGTGAGATTGGGAGAAGTTCCGACAGCTAGCGACCGAAAGCTGCCGCATCAGCGACATGGTGCGGGCATCGGGAACTCGCACTGGACGCTTGTTAGAGTCGGTAAGCTGAGACGGGATCACAACGTCACATCGACGCACGCTTGTTCGCCTGCTCGCGGTGAGCCTCGTACACCCATCGCGAGTGCTGGGACGACCGCAACAGCACGGCGACGATCGTGTCGGTTGGTCTGCGACAGCGCAGAGACTGACTTTGATCGAGACCTCAGGCTCAGAGAGAGCCATCAATCGCACGAGGGAATCGGCACATCGATGTTCTCTGTGCGTGATTCACGGTACGCAGTGAGCACCGAAGGTACACATCTTGCGGGAGCCGGCGCGACTGACAACGTAGTGCGCGATGGCCGGGCACACGACTGCGTGTCAAACTGGTCGTAGCGTGCACCACCGCGCCCGCTCCTCTGGCTTCGAGGCAGCCACAGTACTGCATCTCGCTCGTTGCGAGCCCGCAGCATGTCTCGCCGCGGAACTCGGGCTTCAAGTTGGCTTCCTCGACAGTCGATATCACTACCAGTCGTAGCAGACCGGTGTCCAAGTCCGATCTGACCGTATGCGTCAGACACCGCAGATAGAGGAAGAGAGCCATACCACCGAAGAGTCACCGCGCCATCGCAGAGTGGCGAGACTACGTCGTGCAGCTATGTTTGAGTATGGCAGGTTCGGAATATATTGGTCGTAATCCGGAAGACATGGCGTCGAGGGTGTCGACAAGTCCTGTGGATGTATACGGGTTCGGCAAGGCAAAGTGCATGACATGAACAGACAACGAGAACGAGATGAATTCTACAGACTACGCTAATAACACAAAATGAGTTAGAGAGTCCAGAATGAGTGAGGTGGCACTCACGCTAACATGCATAGCGATCGTATGAATGCGAGATTGGGACTCGGAGACTGGGAATCGACATAGCCAGCCGTCCATCGAGTCCAGTGGTGCGCGTTGCACATATGTACATAGGCCGAGACCGATGCCCGGTGCAACTCGGGCAGGTGCTCAACGAGGCGTCCCTGTGGGTGACAGGAAGACGAAGGTTTGCGGCGCTGCGGAGCGGCCGGCGCACGTCCAAATGCGGAAGTGATGCGCGCGCCGCATCGGTTGCCTGATTAGTCACGGCGGAGGGCGCATGAGTTCGTGTGACAGATGCTGGAGCGCCCCACTCACTCAGAGAACGTTCACGCGTGTGAGCGGGGGCAGACGTCGACGGGTGGCGACGTGGATATTTGTGGCTGCGCGGTCGCGGCGTTCCTACTCGTGCGGGAGGCGCGTTCTGACTCGGTGGCACGGGCAGTTGACGGTGCGACGGCGAGGAGACGGGTCACGGGCGGCTGGGGAGAGCCAGTGCGGGAAGAGGGTGGCGTGAAGGGCGAAGGGGCAGCGCAGAGAGCAGCCTGAGGAGGATCGGAGATCGGGGATCTGGACTGGCGGTGGGACGCAGCTCGTCACTCGTCTCTCGCCCGGCCCTTCTCTCCTCTGCCTCCGCCGCCCATGTCCGCCCGCCCGCCGTCCGCCCGTCCGCCCGCCGAGTGTGCGCGTTGTGCAGTCGGTGTGCGCGCACCTGCCGCATATGGGAGTGTGGCGCGTGTGACTCTGAGCGTGACGGGCGGCGCGTGACGGGGCGGTGGGGGTTGGGCGGCCGATTGGAATCGTCTCGCTGCCATCGCGCGATTGCTGGCACAAGGTTATCCGCACGGCCTGCTGCTCTCTTCGCCAAGCACGAGGCCCTCCCCGTCCTCCCCAGCCCCGGCACCCCCGCGATCCCCCATCGCCCGCTTCTGCGCTCGAACGGGGCCTGCTATTGTCGTCGCTGCGGACACCCCGACGCTGCGACGGCCCCTCTGTCTGATTCTCCGCCTTTCCGCGGTTCCCTGGGCCTGTCCGCTCACTTTCACCTCTGTTTCTGTTCCCGGGCCGGCAGTCTCCACCCGACAACGTAAGTCCGTCCGTCCGCCTGTCTCGCGCCCCCGCCCGTCCCCTGTCCGCCCTCCTGCCCCTCCCGTGCCGCGGTCCCGTGGATCCACACGCGCTCCCGTCCCTCGACGCGTCCCTCCACACCGTCTCCGCCCATCCCTCGCGTCGTCCTGGCGTGGGGTGTCCTCCCGCCCCCGCCACGCGTCGTGTTGGTCGTCGCCCGCTCTGGCCGTTGTCCGAGGTCTCTCCTTTCCGCTCGCGAGGCACTTCGTGCTATGAATCGTTGGTCTCTTTGTACTGCACCTTCAATGAGGTCTCGTACGCGTGGCGGGTGGAACGTTCGTCGTTGACCCACGACAACGCCACTTCTGTCCTTCCGCTTTTGGACAACCGTTTCCTCCTTGCCTCGTTCTCCGTCCCACATCTCTGACATTCTTACTTCCAGCAGGCCTTTTGAACCTGGTAGGCGTGACCAGCGTGCTCGCTCAGGATACGCAACAAAGAGAAGTGGTACTCGGTGCGTATCTCTTTCTCGCTCGCATCCCGCGTCTCAATCTTCCCATTCAACGTCGTCGTCTCGCTCATTCGTTCTGGCTAACACGCATCGTGCTCACAGGTCAAACACCCTCGACCGACGGCGCCCTAAGGCCCGCTCCGCCATTCGCTTCTAGCCCAACTACACGACTTCGAACACGACCATGAACACGTCTCCGACGCAGCCGTCCGCGCACGGCTCGCCGCAGCCGCCGCAGGGCGGAATCAACCCCGCGCTGCTCGCCGGCATGAACCAGGGCCAGGGCGGGATGGGCGGCGGGATGACGCAGGCGCAGATGCAGATGTATGCGCGCGGGATGACGCCGCAGATGATGGCCGCCATGCAACAGCAGGCTATGGGCGGCGGCGGCGGAGGAGGAGGAGGAGGAGGAGGTATGAACACGATGAACATGGGGATGGGAGGAGGAGGAGGAGGTGGAGGAGGGATGGGGAACATGAACATGGGCGGGATGAACCCCGCGATGATGATGCGTCTGATGCAGCAGCAGCAACAGCAACAGCAACAGCAACAGCAGCAGCAACAGCAGCAGCAGAGGAACCAGCAGCAGGGCATGGGCGGGCAGGGCGGCGTGAACCCGCAGCAGCTGATGGGCGGCGGCGGAGGGATTAACCCTGCGGCGCTGATGGGTGGAGGAGGCGGGATGAACAACATGGGCGGCGGAGGTATGGGCGGGATGGGGAACATGGGGATGAACGGTACGTGGTACGTTGTGTGTCGGACGCGGGCGCTGACGGGACGCAGGGACGATGAACCCGGCGGCGATGATGATGAACGGCGGCGGCGGGATGGGGAACATGGGGATGGGCGGCATGGGCGGGATGAGCAACATGAACAACATGGGGAACATGGGCGGGATGGGCGGCATCAACCCCGCCGCGCTCATGGGAGGTAAGCTGCGCCCATTCTCGCTCTCCGTGCACCACTGACGGCCTACAGGCGCGTCCTCGCCATCTGCGCCGTCGCCGACGATGCCGAGCCCGCAGCAGAGCTTCCACGGCGGCGGGTCGCAGCCGACGTCGCCCGCGCTCGACCTCTCGCCCGCGTCGCACTTCGGGATGGGCGGCGGGCAGGGGATGAACGGGATGAACGGGGGCCAGGGCATGGGCGGGATGGGGGGCATGAACGCGGGGATGGGGATGGCCGCGCCGTCGACGCACGCGCAGGGGACATGGGCCAGAACATGGGGCCGTTCCAGAACTTTGGGCTGCACCCGGCGCAGCTGGCGGCGCTCGCGCACCTGCCGCCCGCGGAGAGGGACAAGCAACTGATGCAGATGAAGGCGATGCATATGCAGAGGGCGGCGGCGATGCGCGAGAGGCAGGCGCAGGGCCATGGCGGGGCAAGGTCAAGGTCAAGGTCAGGGTCAAGGACCGCAGGAGGGACTTCCCGGTCAGAATATGCAAGGATGGGAGGGATGGGAGGTATGCAGGGGATGCAGGGGATGCAAGGCATGCAAGGAATGCAGGGTATGCAGGCATGCAGGGCGGGATGGGCGGCATGCAAGGGATGCAAGGTATGCAGGGTATGCAGGGTGGTATGCAAGGGATGCAAGGCGGCGCGCAAGGCATGAGCCCCGCCCATGAACGCTTCCAACAGCTCTCGCAGGGCCAGTACGACCCCCACCAACGCCCGTCCTCCGCCGCATCGACGAGCTCGCACCGTGCGTCCAGCGTCCAGCCCTCAGGTCTGCCCAATATGGGTCACCCTCAAGCGCATCAGAGCCAGATGATGCCGCCCCCAACTGCGATCCCTCCTCGTCCGCCGACCGCCACGTCCCAGCGCCAGCAGGACAAATGCAGTACGGTAACCTCGGCGCGCCGAGTCCGCGGCCGCACACAGCAGGTGGACCAGGTGCGACGCCGAGCCCGCGCATACACTCAGGACCGCTGCCAACAGGGACACCCGTCTCTACGCCAGGACCTGGCGGGCCGATACCTATCCAGCCGCGCCCGATGTCCACAGCACCGGCCCGGGATCAATGACAAGGCCCGGGACGAGCGTCGGGATGCATCATCCGCATATGCAGGCGCAAATGAACCAAGCCCAAGCTCAGCTTCAGGAGGGCATGAAAGTGCCGAGTCGACCTACGACGGCGTCTGGGTTCGCGCAATCTCACCACCAACAACAAGCAGGACAGAACGCGATGTTGAACGCGAACGGAGGCCAGCAGGCTGCCAAGAGCCCCGGTGGTTATCCGCCCATCGCGCCCGCGCCGATTGCGCCAGGGAGCCCGGGCGCGGGGCGAAGAGGAAGGTGGGAGGGACGCCCGTTCCCGGAGGACAACCCGGCCAGCAACACGGACCTCAGGCTCAGTCGCAACAGCATGCCGGCATGCCGCAGTCTCAGCAGCACATCCAGCAAGCGCAGATGCAGCAACAGCAGGACCATCTGTCGGCGCCTGTTCCGCCCCAGATCCCCGTCTGTCGATGTCTACGGCATCCACATGCCAAACGCTGGTGTGGGTGTGAACGGCGCTCCGAGTGCTCCCGGGACGACTGGTCTCCCAGGTATGGGCGTCGCCGGCAACGTGGACACAGTCCGTCGTCGAACCCGATGCTGAACATGGGCATGGGCCTCATGGGCGGTGCTGGCGGAGGCGCGATGGACCGCCCGTGCTGCCGAGGATCGCCAGTCAGGCTGGAGAGATGGGAATGGGAATGGGCATCGGCGCGAACGGTCGGCAGATGAGCAGCGGAAACCTGTCGGTCAACTCTATGGCCAGCGGATGGGCGCGACGTCACCTATCCAGACGATGAACGCAGGCGCGGGTCTGGGTATCGGCGTGGACATGGCTGCGCCGCAGACACCCGTGCGACAGGGATCACAACCGCCTGCGTCGATGACATCCCCGTTCGCCAGCAATGGTCCCCCGCCGGTAGTGCGGTGCGGGGGCATGCTGGCGCGCCTGGCATGGAACGCAAACCTAGTGTCCAGGACGCCGTGGGATTACCACATCTGACAGCACGCACTCGCGGTCGGGTCGGCTGCCAACGTATCTGCGCCCACAACGAATGGCGTGTCCACGGCAGCGCCTCCGCCACCGACGATCATCCTCAACTGCCCCGCTCAACGTTCAGCTGAACCCGAAGACCTCCCGAGTCACTATTGTCCCGCTCGTCGAGTCGACGGCCCGGATAGCGTCGCTCGCGCCGGAGGAGATCGCAGACGTCAAGAAATGGATGGAGGTTGACAAGGAGTATGACGGCCGCTACAAGCGATGAGGGAGAAGATGACGACGGAATGCGCGAGACGGTCGGAAAGCCAAGGCGTGGTGGGAGAAGGACTCAGTCATGGAGGAAGGCCGGATACCGATGCCGGTGCAGAGGGGGGTCCTGGCGCGAAGAGGCCGGAGAAATGGAGCCTCTCTGGCTTGAAACAGAGCAAGGAGAAGGAGATCAAGGATAAGAAGCGCGCGGGCAAGAGAGAAGGTTTCAAGCCGTGAGTGCCTTGCTTCGGATGTTATCGACTGTCAGATTGCTAACGAAGTTCCTAGACCGAGAAGGTTAAGACCGAAGACGCCAATCGTCCGAACAGCTCGTACCCATACGTCTCGAGTTCGATGTCGACCATCACAAGATGCGGGATACCTTCGTCTGGAACCTGAATGGTAATAACTTGCTCTATCAACTGCCGTATTCGTACTTATAATCCGTAGATCCGTCATCACTCCTGAGTTTTCGCTCAATCTATGTGGACGATTATGCCTGCCACCGAACTATCACTCCGTAATCACGAAGGCCATACAAGATCAGCTCAGCGACTTCAAGGCGCATTCCACTACCTTCGGCGAGGACGGAGTATTCGTGTCATCCGATACGGAAGACATCCAGAGTGGGACTATTGACGACAAGGAAGCCGAATGGTGGGAGTCATGGAGGACACTATCCGTTCTCCAAATTCCACAAGCGCGCCTTGGACGTGCTGATTTACGGGGTCACAAGCGTCGGAAGGTCATCAAAGAGGAGGTCGCAGATGCACCGTCCTTGTGAGCTTGCCGGGCGCAGAGCAACCGATGCTGGTGGATGACTTTGACGAAGATGAAGACTCGATGCAGGAGGAGCTGCGGATATTGGTCAAGGTACGAATAGCCATATGCCTTCTTTACGCTCAACTGAATGCCTGTATGCAAAGCTGGATGTGATCATTGGTTCTGTCAAGCTCGAAGATCAGTTCGAATGGAATCTGGAGAACGGTGACCCGACGCCCGAACAGTTCGCAGACACATATTGCCGTGACCTCGGCTAGCTGGCGAATTCAAGTAGGTCTCCTTGCCGCGTGCATTATGTCGCATTCTCACTCTTCACAGAACTGCTATTGCACATTCATCCGCGAGCAGTGCAGATCTACCAGAAATCCTGTTCCTTGTCGGCACCCGTCGGACGGTTCCGCAGTCCAGGACGACGACCTGCGCATGTCCCTTCTGCCGTCACTCACCACTGGCGCGCGTGCGATCGACCAGGTTCGCATTCACCCCGATCCTCAACTACCTCAGCGACAGCGAATCGAACGCAACGAGAAGGAGCGCGAGAAGGAACTCAACCGCCGTAGGAGGAAGACCACAAGGGGTAGGCGAGGATCGCCCTACCAGACCGCGAACCACCAAAGACGTTCCGTACGCCTGCTATGGTTCCCGGAAGTCGACGCGGCGACACTTGCGGCAGTCACGGCCGCAGCTGCACCTACTTCAAGACGAGCGGCTGCCGCGCTGCTTCGCATAACATCGCCAACATGATTGCCTCGGAAAATGGTACGGTCTGCTGCCTCTGCTCAGCCTACGCCGCTCGCGCCTATTGCCCCTACCGCACCGAAGGAAAAGAAGCCGAAGGGTCACTTCAAGCGCCCTCATTCCCTTCCAGCGTTCTGCGCCCACGAGTCAATGTCCGTGGTGCGACTTCCTCGACTTGGCTGATCCGTCGACATTCCCGCCTCCCATCGAGGGCGACCTGCCGTTGCCGAGCAGCAGTGCAGGAGCAGACACTAAAGGCGCGAGAGTTGTCTTATCGGCGAAGCGGACAAAGGAACTCGAGCGGGAAGCCAAGGAGAAAGAGTACGCTGATGGTCAGCATCCGAACATGATCGACGGTGTCTGGCATTGCTCGAACTGTGGCTGTCCTGAGGATATCGCCGTGGGACGCAGAAAAGGCCCGCTTGGAGACAAGTCGCAGTGCGGTACATGTGGTAAGTAATGGACGCGCTTTGACCTCGTGGATGTGCTGACGCTTCTACAGGCAAGTTCTGGCACAGACATCGTCGGCCTCGCCCGGTTGAGTATAATCCAGATCGAACGTATCATCGGAATCTCGTTATAGAAGCCGACCAAGCACGTATAGCAGCCAAGCGTCGTCGTCCTCCACCATCTCAGGTTGACGACCAGTCAGCGAAGGCTGCACTCGAAGACGGCGATGCAGAACCGGAACTCCTCATTGCCAAAGGCGAGGTCCCTGTGGAGGAGCCTCAGCCGTCCCTCGCTGCCGCGAGGGCGATGTCCCCGATGTCGACTGCCTCAAGCGCTTCGGAGTCGCCACTCGCCAGCGCGTCACAAGAGCGACCGGTGCAGCCTCTGCGCCTCCTGAATCTGCTGTCAAGACAGTAATGGCGATGCGGACGCGAGTGCCGCGGCTCCACCCACGGGTTCGCCACCTCAACCGCCGCCGTCAGCACCCCCCAGTACGAACGCGAACGTGGTAGGTGTAACTGTACTTGAACCTTGACGGTCAAGTTCTGACTGGGGTGGACAGAGGGCGTCGATGCCTGAGTGGCTTCAGCGTGCTATGGCGGATATGCAGGCGAAATACCCGGACGACAGGTTCGAAGCGACGGCTCGGAAGCCAACGGCTCCGAACGCGACCGCGCTTGAATGGCGTCTCAAGTGCCTGGACTGCCCCGGCAAAGTACGTTGAACCATTTGCTCATGATACGATCTCACTAACATACCACAGCTGTATACCCCTGGTCCGGGAGAGACGCTACAAAACTACGAAGTGCACCTGCGCAACCGCCAGCATCGCCAAAAAGTCACTGTACGCGTTGAGCCGCACAAGCACCGTCATAAACCCTGAGCGCTGTATATCACTGTCCGTCTTCCGTTCGACTGCCGTTGCCGTTAAATTGTTGTTGTCGACTTAGCCCTTGTCATTGTAGTATGTATGCTTAGGTATCTATCCCCGACGCGTGTCTTTGTAGACTAGTCATGGACTCTTCGAGTGACGTTGAAATCGAACTTAAGCGATGAATAGGCCACTGCGTGCGGATCAGTTAATCAGGTTCCCGTCCCGCCTGAGTACTTATGTAGGTATCGTATGCGATGAAGACTTGTATCGATGACTGTGGTGACGATGCGATGCTGCAGTTCGTCGTCGTAGTCAAGTACAGTAAGTACGGTATATAAACTTGAAGTACGCCGCGCTGCTGTGTGCACTGTTATTCAGCGCTTACAGAGAGACGCCGCCAAACGACTGCCATGATGACGCCAACACGGCCTTTCAGCTATTCACAAACCATGATGGCAGTAAGTACTTGAACCGTCGCTCAGAGATGCCCGGATTGATCACCATACTCATCCGACATCACAGAGTTCGGGTACACATGTTCTCGCCTTGGCTCGTGACTGCCACTTGCTGCGTAATAGCTGCAGCGAGGACCGTGTCCTCAGGCAGCATCGACAGCTTGAGTCCCTTGCAGCTCCGTACTCTGAGAACACAATGCGGCTTCGAGGCTGTACTGCAGGGTAGGGCATACACGTACGTGGTCAGTTTCGCTCTATTACAGTCGTAGCTAAGTTGCCGAATCCTGAGCTTGTTATGTCACGCTGAGCGTGCATACTGGCGGCTGTCTTTTCTTGTCAACCACTGTCACTCGCACATCTGCCCCGATACCGCTGTGAATGCCCGCCAGCACCGGCGTGCCGCTGCTAGTTGCATGTGAGACCCACTATAAAGTCTTTCGTAATCAGGAGCCAGGATATATTCGAGCTGACTATTCTGTACTGCGTTGTCTTTAGATCTATCACGGTCTACGTTTTTGCCAACACCGATTACAAGACCATCGTACCGGATAATGCGATAGTGGTAGGCGGATGAACTACAGAAAGCATGTGTTGTCCAGTCGAGGTAAGCAATCATGCGTTGTATCTGTACTCCAACTCTTCGTTCATCTTGCTGCTGTCGCAGCAAGTCGAATAGGTTCGGGTTACACGCCACGGAACCCGGCGTGTATGCATCATCATCGCAACCCAGACTGCCGACTTGCTCATTCTTGACCACAAATAGGCTCGTATCGACCGCAAAGGTGCATGGCATGCGCTCCGGCTTTAGAAAGTGATGACCATCCCGACAGCGCGCTCCTGGCAACCTCGGGTCATTGCTTGCTCGGCGGCAGGTGCGTCAGTCTCGCTGTTGTCATCTCGCGCCTACCGCCGCTAATTGTATCTGACCGCTCCTGTCATGCACCGTGTACTAGTTTCTCCTTCCATGCCACGTCATGGACTACTTGGCCAAGATCGCGGTCAGATGCGAACCTGGCATGACATCGCCCTAGCCTTTCCTCGCATGCGTAAGGGACCACTGGTTTTCTCCGAGACGCCTGAAAGCGGTGAACTGACACGGACGCTCAATTTAGCGCGAACAAGTAGCACCTCATGGTGAAGATCGTACGTTGTACTGGTGAGTTTGGATTACACTTCGATGTCGCCGGCGTGGATCGAGTCACCCAGCAGGTTGATCCTTCGCTACAAGCGCATATAGGCTTCGACTCGACATTCAATTCGCGGAAGGCATACGGTGAGAACGAGTCGCAACGTACGCGTGTACCTTGATTTTCCCAGCGCGTTGACGGTTGATCCTGGATCTGATTTTGCTCTGGACTCCGCGATGGAGGCTATGAACTTACTCTGGGTTCTGTAGTTTTGTCAGTGCACTGGCTCGTCCGTACGGCGCGTTGTCTCTGTCGCGTACAGTGCGCCAGAGACATCGACTACACTTAACAGGCTGCGGCTCACTCCCAAGCGGCGGTCGCTTCTGCCGCAGCTCAATTCACCGGCATTCGCTCTCACCGGATGGCTTCCATGCCGTGTCATCTCCGGTCATACAGATGTGCGTGGCCTCACTGTGACATGTGGACCGTTATCCGTTATCGCTCATATCCTGCGGAAAGGCCCGGTTGCAACTAACATAAGTACACGGCGATGACACTGATAGTCCCTCTCTCCGCCCGCTACAGTGACTTCGCCCAACGACGCAACTACCGATGGCAACTCAACCTGACGACCAGCGCTCTTCCCCGACCTTGCCGATCGAGAGTCCCTTCAGGCTCTGTTTCAGTACGTTCTCTCTGTTCACGCCTCTGTTGCTGACATGTGTTCGCTGTCGTAGGCAAGATTTCAGTGATCATGGCCCAGGCGCGAGATATTGATCAGAGCTCTAATGTGAGTACTGCTGATATTTTGTACATCATGCTGAATGTTATACAAAGACTGGACTGGTATCCTGAATGAGTTGACTCAGATCCCAATGGGATCATGAACAGCTGAACCAGACTCCTGAGAAGCTGCCTCAGCTAGCTATGCTTGGTCTTGGATGGGCTGAACAGGCTAGCAATGCTGCAATGATTGAGAAATGGATAACCTGCATTGAGACCTACATCACCCTCACCCATGTGAGAAGGAGAAAGCTGTCATGCTCCAAACAGCTGGCTATGCTGTGTGGTACACTGCATCTGCTCTGAGGAGGAGATGTTCATAGAGCATGGAAAGGACTTGCTGTCTCAGGCTCTGAGCCTCTTGAGAAATACTGGTCAGCCTCAGGGACAATGCTTGCGTTATCTGGGCACTATCTTTCACATGCAGTTTCAGTCATCAAGAAGGGCTCCTGACATCAATGCAAGCATTGATTTCATGAAACAGGCACTGGAGCATCTACCAGAAGGCAATGCCATTGGGAGAGAGCAGACATACTTCAAAGTCTTGGCATAGTATATCATGTCAGATTTTTGGCCTTTAAGGAGTTGAATGACATACAAACTGCTATTGTTATGCATCAGCAAGCAGTAGAGCTTACAGCTGCAGAAAGTGAAATGAGATATGAAAGGGCCAGATGTCTAGCTGATGCATATTTGTATTGTATGGGGTCTCACAGAGCCTGTCTGACATGCAAGCATTGATAATAGCTGTTGAGGACATTTTGAAGGTGGATCACCCAACTCTCACACCTGGGAGGAGAGCTGAGACCATGACTTATCTTGCAACAGTTCTGCAACGTAAATTCTATGCCACTGGGGACCTAGCTGATTTAGGAAGCTCCATCACAATTCTCACTGAGGCTGTTAGGCTGTATCCACTGGGTCACCCTAGAAGACAGAATACTGTGCACAGGCTGGCACATGCTCAGCATCACTACTTTGATCACAGTGGCAGCCTGCATGACATTGAACAAAGCATCACAAACTTTCAAGAGAGTTTGAGATTGTGTGAGGCTACTGGTGATGATTCCTCTCATGATCTTAGTTGCCTTGGAGCTGTGTATAAGCATCACTTTGAACTCTTGGGTGAAATTTCTGACCTACATCATGCAATTGAGGCATTGGAGATGGGTGCACAGTTGTGTTCAAAGAGTGGCAGCATGAATCCCACAGTACTCCTGAATCTGGGATCTGGGTATATAACCAGTTTCTTGCATGAGCATAACATCTCAGATATACAAAAGGCCATAGAGGTTCTCAAGGAGGCAATCACCTTATCCCTGCTGAAGCTGCAGACAGGTCTACAGGACTGAGCAACTTGGAACTGCATATCTGCACTATTATCAGGAAACAAAGAATCCAGTACATTGAGTTGTCAATGCAAGCATTCAAGGATCTTTTGAACTGTTACCTAAGAATAATGCAGAAATTGCAGGACAGCTAGCAAATTTGGGGAATGTGACTTTTGCAAAATCTAGGCATCTTCATGAGTTGGCAGACAGTGATTCAGCATTAGTCTGTTGCAACAGGCAATTGACATCATACCTGAAGGTCATAGCATTTACCAGTACATTGGCTAATCTAGGCAATGCTTACCGTACAAGGTCTTTCCAATTGAAATTCAGCAAAGATCCTGCACAGGTTCAATACTTGCAGAAGCCATCAATGCCTTCAAGACAGCTGCCTGTTGTGGCTGTGGTTCATCAAATGTCAGGCTCATAAACTCATTCAGGTGGGCTGACACTGCACAAGCATCAAAGGAAACCCAGCATGAATGCATGAATGCCTATGATACTTTCTTCAAGCTGTTGCCTGAGGTTGTTTGGTTAGGGAAAACAGTTCCTCAGCAGTACAAAGATCTGGTGAAGTGGAATGTCACAGCAACTGAAGCTGCCTCTGCTGCAATCAAGCTTAAGGAGTATTCCAAAGCTATTGAATGGCTTGAACAAGGAAGATCTGTGACATGGAACCAACTGCTCCAATTGCGTTCACCTCTAGATGATCTGAGTAGTACTCACCCTACCCTTTGTGATGAGCTCAAGTCTCTGTCACAAGAGCTAGAGATGCTCAATCATGATAGGGAACACCATGATGATGATGACATGTCTATGGAACAGATTGCTCAGCACCACAGACAGCTAGCCACAAGAAGGGGTGCCTTAGTCAAGAAATCAGAGCTCTCCCAGGGTTTGAACATTTCTTGCAGACAAAGCCCTTCAGTGAGCTTCTTGAGGCTGCCAGAGATTCACCAGTGGTGTTCTTGGTTGCAAGTCCCAGTGGATGCCATGCAAATGCACTAATTTTAATCTCTGACCAAGATCCTGCCATTCATATGCATTTGAAAGGCCTTTCAATTGATGAGATTCACAAGATGCATGAGTCACTACACATCCAGCTTGGTGATTCCAATATGCGCAGTGTACAGACTGCCACTGAGCGTGCTGCTAAGATGGTGTCAACTGGGGGTCAAAATAAACATTCTCTTCATGACATACTTAGAAAGCTGTGGACCAAGCTTGTCAAGCCAATTCTCCAAAGACTTGCATTCTCAGTATGTGTCAATTACACATTTTGTTTCTGAGTCATGGACACTAACCAATCCATTACAGGTTGCAGCTCAGGATCAATTGCCTCATATATGGTGGTGTGTCACAGGCCCACTAAGTTTCCTGCCACTGCATGCTGCAGGAGATTACACTATTGGTGAACCTGGTCATAAGATCTCTGACTATGTGGTGTCTTCATACACTCCTACTCTCACAGCATTGATCAATGCCAGACAGAAGCCTCTGTGTCTGAGCCAGCCATTCTGGGTATCTGTCAGTCTGGAACATTAGGCTATTCCATCTTGCCAGCAGTTGCTGAAGAGTGGGCTTCATTCAGGGTCTTGCCATGAAAGCTCAGGTCATCTGTGAGGGTTCAATGACAGCAATGCTACTGTAGCACATGTCTTGGATAAGATGCAGACTGCCAATTGGGTTCACTTGGCATGCCATGGGGTACAAGACTCTGAGAATCCCATTGAGAGTGCCTTCATCCTACATGACGATATGCTCAAGCTCTCTAAGATCATCCAACAGGACCTAGACAAGGCAGACTTTGCATTCCTGTCTGCCTGTCAAACTGCTACAGGAGATCCTAAGCTGTCAGAGCAGGCAGTACACCTAGCTGCAGGCATGCTATTTGCTGGCTTCAGGAGTGTCATAGCTACCATGTGGTCTATTAGGGATGAAGATGGACCTGAAGTTGCTAGAGATGTCTATGCTCACCTATTGGCTACCAAGGATAGCACTCAGCTGCATATGCACTGCACAGGGCTGTACAGAACCTCAGAAGAAGTACCCTGGAACTGATGATGTAGACTTACTGGCCTGGGTCCCATTCATCCATATTGGCTGTTAAGTAGTTGGTAGAAATTGTTGTCTTGATTGCTGATGTATCCTTGTATCCTTGTACCATAGCTTGACTTACAGAACTGTTGCTGTTTGCATGTGGTCATGAATCTATGTGATTTTGTAGGTGCTGTGATGTATGTACAGTAGGATGACTCAATGTATGGAGAATGATGTGCTTCGACTGCAGTGAACACCGTGGATGTGTCTGTATACACTGATGGCCAGCAACAACAATCCATGAGCGCAACGCCAACGTCAGCGGCGATGCACCTACAGAACATCAGCAACTCGACCATACACGGGCTAACGAAGGCTCACCTACAATCGACCCTCACGTTCACGAGGCGGCCGCATTCGTCGACCCTCCATCGCGGTCACGAATCATGACAGCGATTGGAGTGTGACACGACGCGTACCGTTTATTATCATATGGCCCCTAGTGCATACTTGTCCTGCGCGCATATCAACGGTGCCAGTCAACAGAGAGAGCGCACCCCAGGGGTGGACACCGCAAGCGGTCCTGCACGAACTTCGGCATCCGCTGAAATGTTGACGTGCCCGACCAAGACCAACGTCGCAGACTGTCGGCGACGATGACCCTGCGACGCATCAGTGACTCGACCGTACTGGGCGAACGAAGAACCCCAATCCACATTCATGACGGGGGCCACGTTCGCCGACCCCGCATCGCGGGAGACGATGATGACTAACGTACAATGAATGTAACACGTACCGTTCATCGCACTGTATTCTCCTAAAGACATCAGATTCATCCTACGCACATATGCGCGGAGCGAGCCCGCACTGAAGACGAGGTGATCGCCGCAAGCTTTCCTGCGCGAATGACCGTGTCCGCCGACGCGAACTACTGGACGGGTTTCAAGTCGCGACCAGTCTCGTCCATCATCACTGTGAGCACGTTTGTCAGCAAGACAGGAGACGAGACGGATGGTGTGGATCAAACCAATGACGCCAGAGACGGGGACCGCGAGGGGCGTGTCAAACAGCTTCCTGCATCAGAACACATTCTGTCGCCCTGCGAGATATCGCGTAGGTGATCAAGACCACGGGATGAGCTGCAAATCGCATGCCTGCGCTGTGTATGTGTATGCTCATAAACTAACGACATGATGTGAATCGGATTGATGCGCACCTCTAAGCTTCTATAAGTCGCGCATATAGTCTCATCGCAGTTGCGTGGGATCGCGGCATGACTCTCCGGTCGTCCTGCAACTAGCACGGTTGTACGGTCGACGAAGCCAAGCGGGCAGACCGCCCTGGTACCGTACCGACAAATGAGACGATCCGCAGAAACACAACGCTCGTCGGGCCCGGGCTGTCCTTGACGCAGCTGTTCTCTGTACTGGAAGCTCAAAGTACGCGTCCGATAGTCCTGAGAGATAGACCATCGCACCCACTCTCGCTGAGGGCGCAGCAGCGTTCAGCATTGGCTTCAGTGGCTCTTCTAGCTGCCACGCCGTTCGAGACAACACCAGAGTGTTATAACCGAGAGTGACAGTGCGAGGGGACTCACCTAGTCCTCGCGAGTCACTCACAGTACTCACAGTGGGTCTGGAGCGTAGGAGAAGGCCGAGTGGGATGCCTATGAAGCATTCTCCGCAGGTCAAGATATCATGATTGCTAGTGCAAAGGGACTCACCTAGTCCTCGCAAATCACACCTGGAGCGTACATCGCTTCGCGTGCGGAGTAGCGCAGGGTGGTTGTGAGATGTTCTCTGCGGGTTGAGACATTAGCGCATCAGCGTATGAGCGAACCGATACTACCCAAGATGCCACACGTTGGCAAAAGCCTGAGACGAGGTCTGAGTTCCAGCAGCCGGCCGGGGATCGATTCTCGTGAGGCGACGACGAAGCGACTCGTACAAACTCAAGCGGCACGCGCTGCGACGGTCAGAGAGACGAAGAACGCTCACCGGTACCACGGACACGCTCAGTCTTCGAATAGACTTCGAGGTGCAGCACGCCCTCCATCTCAAGAAACCGAACTCATCATACGAGCGACGACGGAAGGAAGCTGGTCTTGTATCGTTGGTACGCCGCTTGTGACCGTGCGAGGATTCGTGGCAACACCCAAACGACCTCCGAGTCTTGCTCGTGCTCGACGCTGCTCGGTCCGCCACTATTTCTCGCGCCGCCTCGCTTGTCTTGCTTTCTACAACTGCTCTGTTACGATGACACGCCTTGCCCCTCTACAGACGGCGAGATACTCAGCCAGCCTCGAGTTCGCCGCGGAGCTGCACGACCTCCTGCACATCGAGGCAGCGGCACTTCCCGAGGCTTTACCAGTGTACGCCTGTACGACGTCGTGCCGACTACATTTGACGAGGGCCCACGGAGGTGGGTTGTTTCGTTGTTTCGCGTTACAGCAGAGGAATATAGGAGAGAGCTCGAAGGTGTCGGGCGGGCAGGTGATGTAAAATTGTGTCTATTGACGAGAATGCGCTGCGTTATGACGTGCAGGTTCTGCACATTTAGGTGTAATCTGATGCCCTTGCCGCATCGAGTGTGGCTTTCTCCCTGTCCCTCCGTGGGAGGCTCGCCGACGCTGACCATCGCTCTTTTATAGCTACACTGCACAACGAATCATGCGGCTGTTCACACAACATCACGCCGGGATTGGGTGCCTTCTTACCCACCCGTGTTACGCCTAGAGCACGGGGCTTGTGTCGAACTCCCTTATAGAGAACGTCATGATTAAGAAGTATCCCAGAAGTGTATCTACCGGAAGACTCGTGCTCAGGCTGACAGGCACGTACAGGTTCACCGCCGACGAACACCTTCACGTTGTCATGAACAAGCTTGACCCGGAACTCTGGGTGACGCAGCGATCGCCGGCGTCCCATCCTCATGCCTCGTCCACCTCCGTTCGCGCAGTGGCAGCGCACTCCTGACGGGTTCAGCGGCAAGCCCGTTCTCGGTTCACAACGCAGACACGCTCGCGTGCATCAGTGAGTCGCAAACCGTGTGTAGCCCCACACGCGCGGAGAAGACAAACGCGAGAGAGGTAGGGCGGTTCGCGTGGTTGCTGCCAGTGTGTTGCTGACACAGATGTGCCGCTCGCGTCGCAGGACTTTTGCGCTAACCTAATGGCGAGTCGGCGAGTGGTGTACGTTTTCTGCATGCTGGGACATGGTCGCCTGCAGTCGAGTCAGCGGAGCGGCGCAGGTAATTGGGATACGTAGTGCGGTGGGACCTGGTGGACCGTGGCTACGATTGTGAGACGATTGGATGGTGGATAGGTGGCAGGAGACTCGGAGTGTGAGGTGAGTCGTGTTCGGGATTCGCAGTGTACAGGTACTGTACTAGCCTATATGCGATACTTTGTCGCTACAGAGCTTGTGCTTTCCCGATGTTCATCAATAGACGCGTTTCCCTCATTCGTGACAGCGTAAAGCGTTCAGTACTATGCGCGACGGGAGGCTGGGCCGGACGGAAGGCGACACGCTCGTGGCACACATAGCTCCGGTAACTCGTACATTGAGGGTAAGACAGCGAGTACTTCGATTCATCGGGCTCAATCTCTACTTACCCGGCGAGTGCTACGGTTACAAGATGGCATAATACTACAAAGATAGAAGGCATATCAGCATGAACGTAGCAGACGGAAATGAGAATAGCAGATCTCTCGCAATACAACTAGGCCGCTCTCTTCGGTGCCTCATGGCCACAGGCGAATATCAATCCCGGTGAAAGAATGTATCCGTAGAATACACTGCAGTCAGTGTTAGAAGAGGTGGTGCCGCATGAACCAGTCCCAGCTCTCGCAGCCGAAATCCTCAATCTCGTACAATTTGATCTTGCGAGCTGGCCAAGCGGGCAGCAAAACGGGCTCGCCATTTGGGTATATGACCTCGCGAAATTGCCCGACATAGCCCACTTCAAGGCCCACTACCTGCACGCGTCTCGCACCGCGTATCACGTCCTGCACCGTCACGGCCGTGTTCAAGCCCCCATGGATCTGCACGCTCAGAAAGCTGAGGTCCGTGAAGTACGTCCACTGCATTGACAGCTCGATGAGCTAATTCGCAAACGGTGCAAATATGAAGGTGCTTACCAAACCACTGAATATTGTCCGATCATCGGAGCACCCGTTTCTTACACTCGAGAGCGACAGGATGGAAAGCTGCGGGGAAAGGTGTCGACAGACGAACGAGAGGAGCGAATCAGTCAGCCCATCCCACACCGAGATGTGGAAGGCCTCGAGGTCTGTGTGCGTTGCTATCATCTCCATATATGTCACGAGATCGCTCGAGTCAAGAGCGTAGTTCCAGTACACTCGACGAAGCTTGGCATGGCCCCGGAGGATCTTGCAGAACAAGGGAACGGTGGATGGCGGAAACCTGTCGAGGCAATAGGTATGATTGATAGCGAGGGCGCTGAGGTTGGGTAAAAGCGGCATGGCAGATGCGACTTCTGAGAACACGTTGGTCCGAACCCAGCTACGTTGAATGTTCATCAGGGACAACGATCGTAGCTGAGGAAGCTCGCCGAGCGCAGCGCCGAGACCGGCGTAACCGTTGGAAGTGTTCAAGTACTTGATCTCCAATTCGGTCACGTTCGGCAGACGAGATACAGGGATGTCACTGAGTCGACGACCATAAGTTCGGAGCGAATGTAGGCTCGTCATCGTGGTTGTACACCACGACGACTCACGCTTGTGGTGGGCAGTCGAGGTCGCAAAAAGGCCAGAGATGCGGTTGCGCGTAGCATCTGGTAAATGTGGTAACGACAGCATTCTATTCCTCGTGTGAGTGGCTGGAGACGACACAAAGAACGGAATGCTCACGGAAGAGCGCAAACACGCAACGATGGACAGTGCGTGTCAAATGCACACAGTATCGTCTGCCAGACAGATCCATCTATCTTCTCACCACGACCATCATCGTACCAAGCCAACGACTGCAGCTGGCGCAAGCATGGGATCACCGCAACAAGGCGTACTGTGTACACAACGCACTATGAGTGAGATTGCAGCCATAGAAGCACTCAAATATGGGGGCGTACCGATTTGTGAGACTCGGTTCTGGCAGATGAGTGGCGTATGGACCTGCAAGCTTTTCACCATCGCGGCGAAGAATGGATCAGACATTATACGGGCAACGAGGCCAGATGTTCTGGCGAATCGCTCCTCATCTAGCCTGTTGGCTTGTGCGGCGGCCTCATCGAGTGGGACCCCGTTTTGAATTGCTACTCGCTGGTCCGCGCCAATCACGACGGTGAGACTGGCGAAGGTTGCGGGCATGGCAAGGCTGCTGAAGGCACGCGAGACGAGGCGACATGTACACGCGTCCAGTATCGAGAGACAAGACAAAGCTTGTATCCACAGTTCTGGAGGAAGCTCATGAGCTTCAGTTTGCGACATGATTCATAATATGGATGAGCAGACGAGGCGGATGCAGGTTATGGACGTAGGCCTGGGGAGGAGGAGTGTGTGGGGGAGAAACGCGACGCGTGATCATGATATAAGTTCGTTCAATAGGCGCGTGGCATCCCACGCCGTCCCACTACATCGCTTGGGATACTAGTATTCATCATTAGGGACGTTCAGAGTTCGCTGTCCGGGCAGCTATCCCGGCAGCTATCCCGTCCAGCTTTCCGAGGCTCGACGCCGGCAAACGCCGACAGCGAGCCAGCTGTGATCGTGCTCGCGACAGCAGAGGGCTCACTGTCGGCACGAGCGCTCGGCATTCCGTCGGGACGCGAAAACAAGTGGCGAGTACTCGGAAGCTAGCCCTAACCCCTGCAATCTCAGAAAGTCGGTAAATCGGAAAACTACGCCCCTACGGAAATAGCCGCCAGCCGCACTGCTGCCTGTCAAATATGGCAAGTGCAGTCTTGCCCACTGTTTTGTAGTGAAGCTCATCACCTGTGCAGTTGTTTTGGCATAGAGAGATCATGGGACAATGTTCAGAGTGCCGCAAAAATATTAAAGTAACATATGAGGCTGTATCTGTACAGTACGGCACTGTATGTGTGCCGTCACAGGCTGTTACGCGCAGAACACCTATGTCACACACGTGACACGTCCCAATGCGGTAAGCCAGGACAGTCACGGTTCGATGCACTGCCTACTGTAACGGGCAAGGTCGACTCGGGCGGCCGTAGTGGCTGCGGTCGTGCGGAACAGGCGGAACAAGAACAGGAACAAAGGGGCCTCGTATACAGGTGTTGGAAAGGCGAAAGACTACACTACATGCTCACACGATGTATCTATGTGCTGACGTAAGCATGTGGCGGGCGCGCCCGTTACATGCAACCGCCCGCACCCGAATTTTCCGACTGAACAACACTCCCGGTACATACAGATGGGCCACACCACAAATTAAGACATATTGAATGCTCAATATTCAATCATCCCGTCGCATATTACTTTCTTCACTCTGACGAGAATTGTCGGTGCAGTGTTGTGGCTGATCGCGTCGCTTGAATCTCCGACGGGATGCCGAGCGCTCGTGCCGACAGTGAGCCCTCTGCTGTCGCGAGCACGATCACAGCTGGCTCGCTGTCGGCGTTTGCCGGCGTCGAGCCTCGGAAAGCTGGACGGGATAGCTGCCGGGATAGCTGCCCGGACAGCGAACTCTGAACGTCCCTATTCTCTCTCAATAGCACATTCGAGTTCATAAAGCATTTCCGAGTGCGGTATGGGTGTATGCGTAGGCGGTTGCTCCGACTCGGACATAAACTCCCCGTTCCCAATTGCTTCACTCTACACCGCATAACTAGTATGTGGCACCCGTGCCCAACGACTCGAGACTGAAGTCTCTTCCCTCAGGAATTGCGGACCAGCTGCTGCTCAGGTACGACGGTACTGTATCTTTCGATGTGTACACATATATACGAGGAAGTTGCATGCCGGAACGCTCGCCCACTTCAATATATCGTGAACCTCGCATGCCTTCCGGCCAACCGACGAGGAAGACAACCTGATAGCTCGTGAGTACTCTGATTCCCGACATCCGCATCGAGAAGCAGACACTTACTAAGACGAGGACAACCCGCGAGCCCTCCCCAGTGGAAGTGCAAGGGCAGCGCCGGTGTTGCTCACGACGAGCTCGAAACGTGTATACATAAACCCTACATGGGATATTCAGGTCTCCTCATATTGCGGAACGGAGCAGGAAGACGTACGTGGAAAAATACGAAGAGGCCTGTTCGAGTCGCAGATAACCAGTCCGAGCCACCGCTTGTGAGCCTCGTGTACCTGTGGAAAATATGCAGTCAAGCATTCCCAACGTTTAGATTCAGTATAGCCCATGATCGTGTCCTGACATATCCCCAGGCCCGGCGTCGCGTTCTGAATACAAGCTTATATCGCGCAAATCGGAGACTCGGATGTGCAGATGTCTCCACACAAGTCGTATTGCACCTATCCTTACCGCTCGGGTCTCAGATGATTCTGCCCCTCCAGGACGTCATCATCCCTGCCACGTTCTGCAGTTTTCGCGTGAGTGTGCATGTCATCTCCGTGCCAATGAACGACTTACCTTCATCTTCCTTGATCATCGTCACTGTCGCGTCTCCCGGTCCGTGACACATGCATCAGAAGTGAACGAGTTCATTTAGCAGTTACAGTACAATGAACGCGGAATTTTACATGGGACACCGCCAGTGACAAATAGTAATAGATTACCATGCTCTACGCCGAGTGACCGGCAAATGCGGTCACCTCCAATTCGGAAGTCGGAACATCACCGCACAGACTGCCGTATCAACCAGTCCCTGTCCTCACACCCACTGTCCTCCGTGTAGCACAAAGCCACTCTTTGGGTAGACCAAGGGCGCAGGGCGGCGACCCGAGCCTCTCCGCGGTACTCGACGTCGTAAAGCTTTTTGTTGCAGCCGAGCAATTCCAGCCGCTTGGCGCCGTCATCGCAGCGTCCTGAGCACCTCGGTGTACTTGTCCGCGTGAACATTCAGGAAGCTGAGGTCGCGAAATGCTTGTGCTGCAGTGCCGCGTGAGATCACATCATCATTCGCAGACTGCCAGCGACACTCACGAGGTCCCAAAGGCGTGTTGCGCGTCAAAAGCCCCTGACGTCGAACGGAGAGCACCGACAGGTCTGCGGGCAGGCACGCTGGAGCTTTCAAGGACGCCGCGTCGATCGGCTGCTCGTCCACTCCAATGGAAGACGTCGAGGTCCTTGAGTGTGGCGATCACGTCCAGGAACATCGGGAGGTGTTCCGCGTCGACCTCCAAGTCGCAGTAAAACGGCGTAGCTGTGGGAATGCCGCAGAGCGTCGCAGAGCAGCATGAGACGCAAGGGGACTTTGGGATGCATAGCCCCGTCCCAACGTGTCGAAAGCTACTTCAGCCCAAACGTGGTGAGCTGGGATAAATGCGGCACCGCAGATGCCAGCCACGGAACAGCGGGACCTGCGCCGATCCTGTGCGGTCACAGAGAGAGAGCGACTGCAGTGCGGTACCTCGCGCAGGAACACATCCAGGCCGTAGCAGGATTGCGAAACGTGATCTCCAGGATTCAAGACACGGCAGATATGCCAGGGGATGTCGTCGAGAAGGGGATAGGTTAGTCGTACGGTGCGCATATTTGCATGGGCGTGTCGCAGTCCGTCGTAGTGAAGGCGTGCTTTGACCTTAGTATGGCTGAAGTCTCGGATGGAACGGACTCGCATATGCTGTGAGACGCATGAACATGGACGACGGCAGAAATTTCAACACGGGTGCCCTAAGCCCTCCGTCGCGTCAGGATAATCATGAAATGAAATGGATGCTCACGGGCAAGAAACGCACCAAGTAGCGGACAGCCGTCCTCGAGCGCATCGACAATCTTTGGGTGAAGATAGATGTAACGGCCAAAAAATACAAAAGAGCGCAATTGGTGAAGTGCCCCTATTGCGGCAGCAAGACGATCTATTGAGGCATCGTCTGTAGCAGCCATTGGTTAGAGCTCTTGCAGTTCTCCGAATCCATCAGTAGCTCACATCTCTGACTGCGTGCGACACCGTCCTCGTAGACACAGATCCGCAAGCTCCTGATCAGCGAGGCGAATGGCGGATCAGATGCTATGCGGTCAACGAGAGCAAGTTGCGCCGCTTGCTCGATAGCTCGCTCCTCCTTCCGCTTGTCAGACACGGAGATTGACGAACCCCACTTATCCACGCAGTCGTAGGCACCGAAGGTTATAGTCAGAGAGGTGAAGAGTACGGGCGTCGAGAGGCAGCTGAAGACATTCGAGACGAGGCGACAGTTGCGTATGTCAGTCTTCGGGAGGTAGGATATGATTTCCTGCCACACTTCCGGTGACGGCTCGTCCAGACGCCGTGCCATAGATGCAGTGTTGAATGCAGTGTCACAGCCGCGTCGTCAGCGCCTCAACGTCGGATGCGAGTGACAGAAAGAGGAGAGGAGGCGGAAGAAGAAGAAGAAGAAGAGGACACCCCTGTGACCTGTCCGTTCCGCACGCGAAGATTTCTCTGCAAAATCGAAAACAAAAATCATAAGAATGCTGGCAGATCGGAAAAGGAGCGGCACACCTTGTACTTAGTCACCGTAGAATAGTTATGAACTCACAGGAGGACTGCATTTGAACGGGCCATCGAGTGGCTTGGTCGTGAGATGAACGTGGGCAACAACGGGCGCTAAGCATGGTACGTTTCCCCAACGCTGCGGAGCGTGTGAGGTTATAGCGCAGGCCAGTGCGACTCGTACAACGCGCTCATATTGGCGGGCGTAGAAGTCCGAGTCTAGGGTACTTACTGTACATTTTTCAATTCTGCTAATCAGGCGCACGCTAGGGTTATAGAATACTGCAAACTTGATAGGTCTCCGAGTCATGACATTATTGAAGAGTGAAAATGCAAACAACGACATATGCCCTCGCGTTTCGACCGTAAGAATTCTGCGGGTGTCAGAGGACGAGGTGCCTGATAACCCAGTTCCAGCTCTCGCATCCAAAATCCTCAATCTCACACAACTTGACCTTGCGAGCGGACCAAGCGGGCAGCGCGACGGGCCCACCATCGCCATACACGACCTCGCGCAGTTGTTTTTCGTAGCCCACCAGCTGCAGGCGCTTCGCACCGCGGATCACCTCCTGCACCGTCAAGGCCGTGCTCGAGCTCCCGCGAATGCGCAAGTTCAGGAAGCTCAGGTCGGTGAAGTACGCCCACTACGTTGACCGCTCGATGAGCTGTCACGTCACACAATGATGCAGATACGAAGACGCTTACCAAATCACTGAAGGTCGACCGGTCGTCGGAGCACCCGCTTTGCCCGCTCGAGAGCGACAAGACGGAGAGCTGTGGAGGAACATGCCGGCAGATGTACGCGAGGTACGACGCAGCCAGCTGGTTGTCCCACACCGACAAGTGGAAGACCTTCAGGTTGGGTAGTGTTGCAATCGCCTCCATGTATGTCGCGAGGTCGATCGACGACAGGGCGTGGTTCCAGTACATCCGGCGAAGGCCGGCACAGCACCGGAGAGACTCGCAGAGCAACGCGACTGCAGAGGACGGAAGCTTTCGGTCCGGCTCCATGTGCTGGATCGCGAGCGCAGTGAGGTTGGGTAGAAGCGGCACGGCGCTTGCGATCTCTGAGAATACATTGGTGTGATTCGGTGAGACGTGAAATAGGGATAACGATCGCAGTTGCGGAAGCTCGCTGAGCGCTGCGCCAAGACTAACGTAGTTGTCCAGCGTGATCTCCAAATTGGTCACATTCGGTAGGAGAGGCACGGGGAACTCGTCCGGTTCACGGCTGTACCACCGGAGGGAGCGTAGGTTCGTCATTGGGGTGGACCACCATGGCATATGTAGATCCATGAACCACATTATACCGGAGGAGGTCGCGGAAAGGACAGAGGCGCGATTACGCATGGCATCTGATAAATCTCGGAGCGACAACATTCTGCCCCTCGCGTAAGCCGCTAACGAAACAACAGCGAAGAACGGAATACTCACGGAAGGGCACAGATACGCAACAATGGACATATGCGTCCAACGCACGCAGTACGGTGAGTGGCAGTGATCATGCTCACCATACCAAGCCAATGAACGGAGCTGGCGTAAAATGGGATCACCATAATCATGAAATGTTCTATGCATTGCAACGTGAGTGATGCTCAGATATACGAGCAACAAATACTATCGGCGCACCTATGTGTGAGACACTAAGGCGACGGTAGGTAGTATCAGAACGCGCAGACTTCTGACCATCGCGGCGAAGAATGGGTCGGTCTGTATGCGGGCGACGAGAGCAGCTACCTTAGCTGCGCGCTCCTCCTCTAGCCTGAAGGCTTGTTCGGCAGCCGCATCAACTGGAGCTAGACCGAGGAATATAGTGTAAGACACTCGTTGGTCAACGCCGAATACAACGGCGATGTTGGCGAAGGCCATGGGCATCGCAAGGCTGTTGAAACCATGCGAGACGAGGCGGCACGTACACGCGTCGGCTGTCGAGAGGCAAGACAAGGCTTGTAGCCACACTTCCGGAGGAAGTGCGTAAGAGTAAGGCCGTAACATGATTGACGATGTGGACATGGACGAGCAGATGATGGAATTTGAACCTGAGCGGGTGATAAGCGTCGGACGCTTTATCTCCGCCACGAGCGCGTCGCGCGACGGCCATGAGGCTCACTCACTCACGGATTCGTCGAGTCGTTCCGGGAATCTCGAAGTTACTTACATCCATGATCCATCGCCGTATCGGATTGATGTCTCAACAATGTGTTAACGGATCTACTATGACATGTTGCCAGTGTAGGTACGTACTGAGAGAACGGCAACCATGCGCGAGCGATTACGCTTCCAAAGTCCGGTACGCGTAGGGGACCTCCTGGACCTCTTCAGACTCTGTTCAAGAATCGATGTCTTGTACATCCACACGTATACCTAGCGCGGGCCGGAGTACAGTGGCACTGAATCAAGCTTCTTCATCTCCTACTCCCTCACCCCACCTCCACCACTCCAGCTCCTGGACCAATAACACACCTGGTTTGCACACACGTCGACGACGTCGTTTCGTCACACACTACCAACCTACAATAGCGCATCTCTTCTGGGTGTCTATTCCTCGACGTGAACGCGAGAGCTACGGGATTCGTATCAACCCGTCTGCTAGCGGGCCTGACGCCTAGCGATGTGGGACGAGGTGAGTAGGCAGAATGCAGTGACAAACACGTCTACTTGCGCATAGTCTCCGTCTCCAGCTCACGGGTCCGACACAGTTCTAACCAAGGCAGACGGTACGGTGAGGCATCAAAACGAGCGGCAAGTCTTCTCAGACACAGATACAACGAGGTTGCTGTCGCGGACACAATCGCGCAATACTGAGCGATATACTGAGGACGGTTCTCCTTGACGTAGCCTAGCCATCTTCGGTGGGTAAGACGAAGGAGCATACGAACGAACGTATTCCCTGTACGAAGGTGTTGTCAGTGATAAACATAGGTCTCCATGAGGATATGCCAAACATACAGGCGGGCACGACTGGGAGTTCTTCGTCGGCATTCAAGCTACTCGTCCTCGCAACTCGCAAGTCATCTCCGTTGTGGATGAGACGGTGCACATGGTAACACTGCACGTTAAACCCATTTTCAGGAAGCCGCAGCCGCTTCCCATCCCTATATACGACGAGCGATGTTACGTTGAACCGAACATATCACCCACGCACTGCGGACGTCGTGAGGGCAACATCCAAGCTGGCAGCCGTGGTCGTAGGAGAAACAAGACGGCCGCATCGATACATAAAGCAGACGACCACCAGTCGCTGTCGCTGTTCAAATTTACTCCATGACTGGAAGTGTGCTTCCACCGACTGCGCAGCATGTTACGCGTTCCGGTCTCAACGTCATAAGCTCGACTGCTCTTGGCCGTCCGTGGAGACTTGTAAGAACGTTGTCAAATAGCATGTTCCGGTGGACCCGGTGGGGCGAGCCCTGTGGTACATGTTGACCTCGGCTTCTGTCGAACACATATGGCGACGCGACGCATAGCGACCGCATACATACGACGCAGTCCGATCCCTGGGTGACCTACGACCGGCGAACCGAAGATTCGCTCGATGATGGACGACCTGTGCATACCAACCTCGTTGCAAACCCCAGTAACGTGCGAGATGATACAGGCAGCGTACCAGTGGATCTAGTGCGCAAATCCGTGTGTATCGACCGTGTCTGTTCACGGACACACGAACACTGGGATAATGGTTTCCCGCGTGGACGACTGCGGCGTCGATGTATCCTTTTCGTCATTGCGTCCGAGTCGTCCTCGGTGCCCAGATAAGCACTTCTTAGCACACAGTTTTGTTTACCCTGTCTGCTCTGAACGCCTCTCAGCTGACAGCCTTCGATGATACGAGTACAGCACACAACGGAAGAGAGGTGGTTCGTGGTTCGAACGAAGCGAGTGACCTATCCGTAAAGCGCGAATTGTGATTCGCTAACCCAGATTTCACACTCCGAAATGCTACTATCAGACTTTGATTAGACTATTGCTTTTGTAATCCCACAATACATCGCTCAGCCAACTACTGCCCCCAGTCCATCTTACCAGCCTGCAGATGATGTCGAGGATAATATTGTCTGTGGCGAGCCGCCAAGACTGTAGCCCACTCTGATTCGGACTGGTGGCACCTATTTCAGGGTTCAAAACAAGCTGGTGCAGACCTCGACGAGTGAGTACGCCTCCTACTCAGGACAATAATGAGATGGTGTATGCCGACGTAGAACGGTCGTAGAACGTGTCTATCAAAAGGTATATTGAGGATATCAAATGACAGCTCATTCTGATCCCGGAGTTCCGAGACCAGCAAGCGCGTGCCACCGGGTGACCGGATAGTACTTAGTGTCTCAAAACCGACATCTGTGAGCTCAATTTTGGTCGGGTGTCATGATCTGTGAACGTTAACCATGCTCTCTGTACATATAAGGGACGTCGCCAGAGTGCGAGTAAAACTTGCGATCGTGCCGTTGTGTCGCAGCAATGCGATTGTCGGCCGTTAACGCGTTGCGACATCATATCACTTGCGGAGCGCCCCCTCGAACTCGCAGTCGGTCAGTTGACATCACCATCACTGGCATGAGGCCCTGCGTTGCCCTGTCCCATGACTACAATGTCCCTCAATCAGAAATCCGCCCTCGTATATGGGGCGCTATGGGGATGCCCGTATACCGTATCGTTCAAACGTTCCGGATCCTTCGTTCCGTCGGGACCTGTGATAATTGTTTGTGCGGTGATACACAAGGTACGCGACATGGCTGTGGCCCACGTATTTATACGAGCTCGCCTTTGAGGACGGAGACTCGTTTGCCCTCAGGTCCCACCTCCTTTGCATCACCCCTTCGTAGCCCAAAGGAAGGCTGGAGATGGTCGCCACGTCCTCACAGCTACCGGCCGCCGCCATGTCCCCCGAATCCGACAAGGACATCGAGGAGGCGCGCATCGAGGATCCCAACACCGAGGGCACGCGTTTCCAAGCTGCCTTGGGCGAACGCGCACGGCGGAGGCAGTTCTTCTCTCGTCTGGACACTGAAGTCGCGGACGCCGTGAACAAGGATGCGGAGACGGTAGAGTTCACGGCGGACGAGGAGAAGACAGTGCGGAGGAAGATCGACCGACGGGTCCTGTCGCTGGTTATCGGGAGGTCAGTCCCATTCGCAATCCTGAGTCGATATGCACCAAATGTTGACGCGCATGGACCGAAGTTATCTCTGTACGTGACCGAGAAGCCTCAGGGACATGCTCCCTATACTGATTTCTATTTCTGTGTGTTCTCGAAATAGTCAACCAATTCGGTAAGGCGCAGCTCATATGCCGGTTTAACTCGTATTCACTATTGTCTTACCAGATCGTACTAATATGTACGCACCCTCGATCCGAGTCCGGAGCGACTTCTGTGACTGATGATTTATCCAGCGGAAACGTCCACACTGTGGCAGCATTCAATGAGAACTATGTGTGTGTCGCCTTGTTGCTATCGTACTCTTCACTGAGTATGACTTTCGTAGGGCGTCACGAACAACAACAAATGGACACTCGCGTTGAGCGTCTTCTACATCGGATACTGTGCGTTTCTGGCCCACTACCACTGTATCAGGACGACCTAGCTCATGCCGAGCTTCTAGGCCTGCTTGAGATGCCTGCCAACGGTACGTACGGACAAGAAGTGATGCGACCTCCGGCTAACGGTTCAGTCCAGTGCTACAACGCCGAATCGGCGCCAACAGGTTCTTTTTCATGTCACTTACCTGGTGGGGCCTGTCTTCGCTATCGTTCGTGTATGCGAAGAGCTACACCGGGTTGTTAATTCTGCGGTACGTCTTCTTAGTACTGCATGATCGGACGCGCGGAATCTTATCGAGATCGTACGTAGGGTTCTCCTTGGCATCGGCGAGGCGGGATACTACGCGGGGATGGTGTACTACCTTTCGTTCTGGTATAAACGGTGTGCCTTTCTTCGATGCTTCCTCACGTGCTTGACTGATGATTCCCTGCGAAGACACGAACTCGCTATGCGGATCAGGTACGATTCACATGTCGAAGAGGGCCAACAGCATGACTCAAGCAACCTTGATGCAGTATCTGTATGACCGGCACATACCCAGGCGCCATTAGCGTATGTACACGCTTTAGTAGGGTTGAAGCCGCATAGCTGACGCTGCTCTCGCAGGGCTTGATCGCCTTCGGCCTGCTCCGAGTGCACACGTCGGTTCTGAAAGGATGGCAGTTTCTCTTCCTCGTGAGTACCATCCGTAGCTCGGTCTGACGGATCACGATCTGACACCGCTGTGAAGCTCGAGGCCATCCCGACGATCATCATGGCATCCCTGCTGCTGGTGTTCCTCCCTTCGTTCCCTTTCACCGCCTCGTTCTTGACGCCTCGTCAGAAAGCGATCGCTCAGGCAAGTCTATGACACTCTTGTAGCCACGCGTCGCTTCAATCAGCTTGGCTCCGTAGGCACGCCTGAACCGAGACCAGAAACCGACGTCGCACGGTGGTATGGGCGCCTTCCGCGCACTCACCCTCGTCGTGTCCGATCTCAATGCATGGCTTCTCATGGTCATCTACTGCGGGTGTACGTCTTTCCCGAATATCTCCGTATATACGCCTAATCTGAACGAAACATTTTTCAGTCAACGTTGGCACTGCGACGATCACGTACTTCCTGCCTACGGCATGTGTTCTTCTAGCAAAGATGATCAGTTGATTAACTAACGCTGGTCAAACAGCTCATCGTCGAGCTCGGATTCAGCGGTATCGATGCCCAGGGCATGACAGTCGCACCGTACTTCGCAGGGTGGTTCCTCGTGGTCTTCCAAGCGTGGCACTCGGTTTGTAATCTCACTATTTCACCGTTCGCTTTTGATTAACCTCGTCATCTGTAGGATCGTACGCGCGATCGTGGCTGGCACGTCATGCTGTCCACGGCGATCGCATTCATCGGCTACCTCATTCTTGCCACGAGTGTGCAGAAGAGCGTCGGCGCGGGCTACTTCGCATTGTTCCTTGTTGTTGGCGGGAACTTCAGTCTGTTCCCGCTGGTGATGTGCGTTTCGATTTTGGATCGCATGAAGACGGCACGCTGACATCAACTCTCCCTGCGCAGGAGCTGGGCAGCGAACTGTTTCTCGCCGACTCCCAAGCGTGGTGTGGGCACCGCGTTCATCGTGTCCATCGCGAACTGTATCTCCATGTCAGCTCGCTTTGTCGCCGCTTCGCTGCTCGTATGCATTCTGAAGCGCTCTGGCATTTAGTGCGGCGCCGCAGATCTACTTCGACAACAACGACGACTACCGAAAAGGCCATGCAATCTCCGCAGGGTAAGCCCGATCTATGCCGTTGTTCTTCTCGATGCTAAAACTGCTGCCGGGACGGAACAGGTGTCTATTTGCATCCATGCTCGCAGCGTTCATCCTCCGCACGCGGCTGGCACGCAAGAACAAGAAGAACGGAGTGCGCCTCCAGGCCATGACCCAGGACGAGAAGACGGAGTTGTCGGAGGAGCCGGAGATCGCGGACACGGATCCGCGGTATGTATTCATGGTGTAAGACGGAGAGCCGGCAGGACGCTAGGGCACAAGATTACGAAGACATCCTTTCACGATCATGTTGTTGTACATTAGAGTCCTTTGCACGATATGCATGAGCTGTACTTCCTAGATGCATGACTCGGGTGCATGAGTTTGGACATGTGAGAACAGTTGAAGGCAAGCCGTCGATATGATGACAACTGCGATATTCTGACAGTCGCTCACTGCAATAGAAGCGGTACGCATTCGGTTACGATGCACTCTAACTGTGCAGACACTGTCTATAGTGAGACCTGGTAATGCATTACTGGTGTAATCATTGGTATACGGATTCGTGTATAGGAGCGCTAGCTGTGTTGATACAAAACGACGCTGCATGTGTCGCCGAGCAGCAAGAGCCTTCGATGACACCCAAAAGTAATGAATCAGTTGTAGTGTGCATGTCCAGGTCACCGCTGCGATGTCGATTGGAAACATACCCGTCATATGTCCGACACTGTTTTGATTCGTAGCTCGAGGCTAGGAGACAGCCCGTCCTTTCCACGTATCTTCGGCTTGACAGTGTTGCTTCCGACCCGATAGAAGTCGTAGTCCACCCCCGCGTGTTCGAAGTGGAAGTACCGCACCAGAGTTGCGATCAGTATCTGTACAAGAAATCGGCGTGACATCCCGGAAACAAAGGAGAGAACAGTGCTGACTGACCTTGAACTCGGCTAGTGCTGGTATTTGCCATAAAGTGTTAACTTGAATAGGAGAACGCGCGAAGTTTGTTCACCTACCGAAGTGGCGTCCGACACAGATCTTCGGTCTGGGAGTAAAGCTTGCATCAAAATCGCACTTCCAGGCGGATATATGTTGACAACGTACCCGTCCCCAAACGATAGCACATGTCCAGGAGCGCGGACTGTCTTGACGCTCTCCGGCAGTCCCTTTCCATTGTCCAGCCATCGTTCCGGTCTGAACACTTCTGCATCGGGTCCCCATATATCAGGATCGTTGTTGATGCCGCCACGTATGGGGATGTGGACGAGTTGCCCTGGCTCAACAACGACATGCGTAGCCCCCGTCGAGTGGACGGGAAACTGCAAAGGGATACTGTCCTCGACTGTCGCCTCCCGTGTAAGGTTCATTACGATCGGATACGTAAGCATAGTCTCGCGTGCGACAGCGTCCAGGTACGGCAACTGCGTAGCACTCGCAAGATCGTCATAGGTCGGGTCTCTGCCCGTGATATCTGCAAACGAGACGAGTTCTGCACGAAGTTTGGACTGTATAGCAAGCTGGAGCGCGAGCTCGTGCAAGCATTCCTGCGATTCAAGACTGTCAGTCAACATAAAAGTAACATTGATGAAGCGTCATCATACCCCTATTGCACTAGCAGTCGTTTCATATCCTGCGAAAATGACGGCTAGTATCTAACAAGCTGGCGTCAGCACGTAAGGATGTTGATGAGTTTACTCCATCCCGTACATTCGCGATGGCCAGATCTCGGTCCATTGGCTGCCCAGATAGTACCTTGCTGTTGTCTATGCGACATTGAAGGATCCTGTGAGTGCCTTCCTCTGCATAGACCACTGGCATATGAACAGAGCAACACGTACCCATAGCTTCCAGCAACTTGGAATGCATTCCATCATTTCTCATGCACTCGATTTCGCTGTCCTTCCACACCCTATCAGCAACCTTGCCCAATTCCGACTTCATGATGCGCGGCCAGCGCTTGATAGGGATGGGTAATTTCCAGAGTACTGGGAACGCCTCGACGAACGATTCCGCAACAAGCGCAGCGTTCGTTAGAGGGAGATTGGCAATCTTGGCGAGCAGGGAGGAAAGAGATGCATTGTCGGAGATCGCATAAGAGAACGTCGTTATGCTGATCGCGTCGATTCTACGGCACCAAGTCAGCGTCGAATCAACAATGTGACGGTAGCACGAACGCAAGGCTCTGCAATTCATGGCTGACGTCAAGAGTCAGACTGGATGAGCCTGCATGGTCAAGCCTATCCTCCCAGTCTGCCCGTAGCTGGATCACATCATGCTGAGAGCGGTGAGGTACTCCATACTGATTAACACAGACCTTGTTTGCGAGGTCGATGATAACCTGCGAGACTTCGCGAACGTTGGCGGACCTTTGCGCTCAAGTTCAGACACATATTCAGCACATAATAGGGCGCAATTCGTACGTGAAGGCAGAGTTGAGTACTGCTCTTTGTTGTTTGTGGAAATCACCTGGTGGAGAACAAAGTGAGTATCACAAACAAAGCTGGCGTATCCTGATCAATGGACGAACCTTCAGCAGTGAAAATTGATTCGCCGAACTGATCGTCATTACACTTGAGGACATTGTATAGATAACCAAGACCCTGATACGTACGAACTCCGCCACCATAGCACGGTTCGATTCATTACGAATGTAACTGTAAGACCCGAGTACATGAGATGCGCCCTTTGGGTCACCCATGAATAGCTCAGTGGTCTGTAATGTGGTTCAGGAGTCATGTAAAACGAGCGACGCGGTATAATGTCGACTCACCCCGAAAGGGCCTCTGACTTTGTACGTTTGCCCATACTTGCTTCTCCAGCGGCTGAAGAGATTGCCGGCAGGTGCGCTGTGCAAATCGTACCTATAGCCCAGGATCCAGCTCCACGGTGTTGGGCCCGCAAGCTCATGGAGCCTTGAGTACGCCTGCCGGAGGTGCCTCGCGAGCACTGTTAGAAAGCAGAGAGCGACCAAGGCAACGGCAGCGCTCATGACTAGAAGGTAAGGTTTTGTGTGAAGCCCACGGTGCGGTTCGCCAATGCTCCCGTATTATAAGGTACACGCACGCCGTTTCTCGTCTGCGCTAATGGAGTTTCGTCGAGACTCCAAACACGCCCAACCCGGCTAGGTGGGACAAGATTTGACGCATACGCGTGAATGTGGTCGAGACTAGGAAAGCGGCGTTCCGGCACACCAAAAGGGGACCGACATGATGCGTATGTATTATCCGCTCGGCGGTCCAATCATACGTCTGACTTTATTGAGTGGGCTAGAGCCATAGCTTGTGACCAAGTGAGACGTACCCAAGACAAACAACTTCTATCACCTGCAGTAGTGTGCCGCTTGATTGGAATACGACTGCTCTCAGTAGTTCAGCTAAGCGAAGCTCGTTCAACCTGAGATTCCACGACTGTTTCGTCAATGAATGTTTGGGTTTAATCTTGGCTTGACACCGGATTCGTTTTTTGCGATATCTCGATAGACAAGGATAGACACCGGGCCTCCTACGCCAATATCGTATGTAATCGCGGCGGCCATCTGGCCGGGTTTTATAAATGGTGCGTGTTCCAGACGGAGCTACACCAGGCCCGAGACATTGTAGGGTGGATGGGAGATGATCGATGATGGCCAGGCCTGAGTGACGTTGCGGTGATGCTGAGACAGGCGTGACGAATCCGGTAGTTCATGCATGGACCATCGAACTCTTGTCTGCGGCTAGGCTAGGCTTGTGATTGAAGGAGGCAGCCATTTGTCCTCGAGTCTTCGTCATTATTGTCTAAGGTGGACGGATAGACATAGAGTGAAATGCGGCCCTAGAGAAGGGACTACTAAGAGCATTAGGATGCGGAATGGCACAGAGACTGATTTCGTCATGGACACAACAGTGCCCTGTTCTGAAGTCTGCCACGAGACACAGTACACGCGGTCAACTTCGTGGTCAGAGAGGCTGAGAAAGACGACTATGAACGCACATCGGTCGGACCTCCACCTGGCCTCTATCTCCGTTGTACTCGCGGCTCAAGTGCAATATTATGCACATTAAATGTCATTGGAATGCCATTTATTGGTCCGGGCAGCGTGAAACGACCGTCGTATGTATTTAGCAGCCCCGTTCGGATGCTCCTGCTTGTTTGCAAGCGATCTTCGCGCGGTGAGGGCCAATATTTCATAAACCAAACCGACTTGACCACCTTACATATGTATGCAAAGGGCTCCTACTTCCCTCATAGCTAGATTTTCTTTTGGAGGCTGTGTTACCTTGGCGCGAAGTCAGTCGGATATCGAAGGAGGAAGAGCAGAAGGAGGAGGAGCGACTATGCACGCCAGTTTGCTCCTCCAGCTTCAGGATGTATCCCATCAGCACTCACAACGACGGCTTCTTCTCGCCATCTCGCCGCAAGAGCTGGTTCTGCACGATCAAAAGGAGCGCATACAGCGTCTCGACCCGCTGCTCCGCGTTAGCTCGCACCGAACAATCAAACGGCGCATCACACTCACAGGCATAGCCACGCCCTTCGCCCGGCCCATACGTACGAGCTCACCGAGGATGACCTCCACCTCTGTCGGGCGCCCGCTCTCCACGTCCACGAGCGTGCTCGCGCGGTGACTCGCGTCGGGGCTCGCATGTATGCGCGCCGTGTTGCGCAGCGTATTCTCCACCACCTCCGGGTCGAGCCCCGCGCCGTCCTCGCTGTCCGGGTAGAGCACCGTCCCGAGCGTGTAGACCTCCTGCATCGCCGCGCGGATAGCCGGGATGCTGTATTCAGCGATCGCAGGCGACGCGCTCGAGATCTCGCCGGGTCGGAGAGTCGGTGTGGCAGAGGCGGACGGCGCTGCGCCGGGCTTGAGGTGGGGCGGGCGGAAGATGGCGGTGAGCGGGAAACGGGTGAGGGCGGCGGTGATGCCGAGGCAGGCGTTCCAGAAGTTCTTGCTGTACTTGATGCGTTGGATCTCGGCGACGATCGAGGTCTGGCTGCCGCCTGCGGCGAGGATGCGCTCGAAGTCGGACAGGAGAGCGCTCTCTTCTGGCGTGTTCTTTGTCGTTGTCGACGATGGGCGGTAGACACCTAGCGAGACGCGGTCCTGGATGGTTTTAAGTTTCAACTCGTTTGTGTAGCACACGATAGTGCTCACGAAGTCGTTGTGTTCCACGACATTACTGCCCTTCATACCCGTACCAATCCAGACTGCCGTGCTGATGATCCTCGGCTCCTCATTCGGCTTGAGCTTCTTGAGTGCCTCGTATAGGTCGACTTCGACGTTGAGTCCATTCTGCATCAACACGTATGTCGGTTGAGGATACTGATCCGAATATGGCGACGAAAGAAGGGGCGCGAGGAGGGCTGGAGTGCGGGTCAGCTCCGGGATTGCCTTGGTCGTGACTATCACGTAGTTATATGGGCGATCCGCTGCCTCTGCGACAGAGCGGCACACTGGCGGACGAGAGTTCAGAGCTATTTCTCAGGAGGGGAACGAGTGTACCCACGTCGGTCAGGCCTCCACCCTCGGTGCTCGCCGTACTTGCGGCTGAGGAAGTGTAGCCCATCATCTTCCGCCGAGGTCAGTATACGGCCGCTAGGCTAGGCGTATACACCACCTTTCACCGACTGGTAGTTGCTCCGTGCAACGACCGTTACATGCGCTTGACCACTTCGCTTCAGGATCAAGGAGTCTTCGTACCGCGATCTTCCCTCTCAGAGACAAACTCGAAGCGTGGATAATTCTGCGACTCACAGATGGCTCCTACTGCGCCGAGACCCACTAGAAGTACCTCTCTCAGTTGCGACGACATGGTGGTAGCGGGTGTACCTTGCTTACGACTACCAGTGCTACGCCGACGGTCGCCCGTTCATCCGGCGATTGCGTAACTTGAGCTTCGGACTCTACGCGCTGGTAGCTTACGCTAGACTCCCTCCTTTGCATCGCATGCGAATTCTGTTGATGACCTTTGAGCGACATAGAGCATAAGGTGGATTGGCCAGCCTGAGCGGTCGTGAAGGGGCGTAGGAATGAAGCGGCGCGCATCCGAGTCCCAGGCGAGGAGGAGGCGTGTATAGCGCGCGCTTGAACATCTGAACCTGGATTGAACTTGCCTCCACTGGCAGCAGCACCGGGCGATCA